ATTTTGCAGTCATTGCCCCCCTCTCTCCCCCACCTTGTTTGTGACACACACATCTACATCCCTGTAACGCTATCTGCTGAATGTGTTTTGTATTTGCATGTAGAATACTAATGTTATCTTTACAAATGTAACTACACTATCACTGGAATGCAAAGAGATGAAGTAGTGTAGCCAGTCAATACTTCTCTGAAGACTAAAGAACACATAATACTAGGGCAGATTATGTATTAGTGACGTACAGATGGGCTGAGGGGCTACCCGCATAGTCCGCATACCATGCCGCCAAGCGGAAGTACAATGGCCGTATCTTTCAGTGCCCACTTAGCCGAAAGGAAAACTTAAACAAATGGCCGTAGTATTACCTGATTTCCTTCTCCCTTTGAGCCTCATCTCCGGCACTTCCCTGGGTCAATCTCCCACGTCGGTCATCACAACGTAGCCATTGCTGTTGGAAAAACACCTACCACCCTCCCGTGCCAGTCATCAGAGAAAGTATTTGACCATAATGTTAATGATTTTCTTGGTAATTTTACTGAATTCGGAGTTTCGTCCTGTTTGAAGGCTGTATTGGGGAGAAGTGAATGTGCACGCCATCGTGGTTATTCCTCCTTGCCACATTGTTCTCACTTTGATGGTGTCCAGTCATATCCACAAGGGCTCTATCCATCTAGTGGAGAGGTGGAGGAGGTATCGTCTGTTTAGTTAATTAGCACCTTCATACGGATGCCGTGAACAGCCAGTGTCACCTCACTCGTTACCAGCTTTCTTAGACTAGGTAACAGTTGAAGGTAGGCGATATTTGCAACTCTTCTTTTAGGAGTCGTCACACACTTTCTCATCCGCAGCATTTGCCCTTCTTTCGTCACACAGGTTTAGCATTCAAAAATATGGACTGAAAGGCCATTGGCGTGGCCCAAGGGCCATGCTGCTGGGCGAAAGTGCAAAGGCCGTGTCTTTCAGCGTTTGCCTTTGCAAACAATCAGGGTGTTACAGCAAGGCTCAAGGGAGGTGCTTTATGTAGTGTAATCAAGTGGATAAACAGTGAATCACGTGTTTTCAACGATGTCCCGTTTTGGAGCAAGCACTTTTTGTAGTTAAGTCACCTTGCTATCTACTTCAACGGATTGGGAGCTGAATCCACTTGATGTCCGGATTGGAGGTGCAATGCTGTTGAAAAATCACAACCAGCTTTGGGATAATTGCACTCATGGTTTCAACCTAGCGTTTGGGAGGATGAAGCGAACCGCAGATAATCCCACCTACAAACCCATTCAATTATTGACTGGTAGATCGCCAAACTAACTAATAATGAACAAAGTGTAACGATATCCAGGAGTAGGGCGACTCTTGCAACAGCCAAGGGGAGAAGAACGATGCCTATTATGATATTGAAACAACTCAGGTCAAAATAAAAAGACGGATGAAAGGATTTAATGAAAAGCGATGCATTGTGCTAGTGGAGACCAATCTGCGGCCGCGGAAGACAATGAGTAATCCCCAATGTCTACATTTTCGGCGCACCAGCTCCACCCTGGAGCAAGTTAAATTTACCTCATCTGTGAGGGGTTAGAGGTATGTTCACTACGATAGTAAAATTATTAAAAAAATCGGAACATTGGTTAGCACGTGAACTCAAAACTACGTTCTTGTGCCATTATGACTCCAGCGCTCTTTGTTTGCTAGCTAAAACCAGATACACCTAATAAACTTTGATTAAGCTGAATATCGGGAATTACTATCCCATTTTATTTACTTTGCCAATGAACTCTTCACTTTGGTCTGACTAGAGTGATATTTAACGCACATTCACCTATCCCATCTTATAGTTGCCTGTGTGATACTTTGGTGATTTGTTTAATCATTCGTTTCCCTTTCTCGGTTACTTAAAGCCCGCCTTCGTAGCCCTTCATGGTGGTCCGACTTTCCAACCACTCCAGGAGCCCCCAGCCCTTCTGAACATTGGTAATACATATTCTGCTTAAAAACTATGTCTTCCCTCGTCTTTAGGGAAGTCTCAAGGCACTACAACATCTGTCGCTTAATTATCTCAAGGTTTTGGTAACTAAAGATCCACTCATCCGCAAAAAAAATGTTGAGATGTGGGCTAATGTTAGAAATAAGGTGACGGTGGTGCCAAATGAACACACGGTTAGGACAAGGTGTAGCAAAATCTGGATTCGTTGGATGCCTGTGCCGGTTTTTTGCCCCGGAGCAACATGGTCCTAGACCGATACTAGAGGATTCACGTGTAATGCTTCATTCTAAGGTGTTAATTACTATTTTCGTCAATTTTAAAATATTTTTTTTAAAGTGCGACCACTGCGTAGTGGTACATAAATTATTCAATCGGCTGTGGTTCATATGATTTAAGATTCAAATGAGAATAATGTGGTGAGAATTTCGCAATTATGAGGCGAAATTTTTTTCCCATAAGTAAATCATCACACTTTGAACCATTATGAGAAAATTCGCCATGACACACTTTGTAATGAGGAAGTTCATGGTCAGAAGGCCAATTAAAGTGTCTGAAAAAACTTCACCAGTTTCCAATCTTACTTATTAAGTTTTCTAGGTTCCAGGACCTTAAAAAACAAAGAAAAACGTATTCCTCAATCTGATATTCACCGGCAAAAAAGGCATTTAAGTGGATTAGTTTTTCCTTTGAGGAAGCCTTTTATCAGCTTGATGTGAAAAATGCGATTGCAAGATTACTATAGATGTCACAATTCATTTACGATTGTCCACTCTCTACAAACATTTTGTAGCTGGCAGTTTCCGGTCCGGCCTTCATGAAGCAGGAAGTATGCTCAACATGGAGGCCTTATAAGAAGGGCTTCTCTTGCTCCCTAGCAGCACCCGTTTACCACAGATAAATTCTGCCAAGCATGATGTGAATGGTAGAAAGAAGACTCCGGCTTGTTTTCACTATATTAATAACTTCATCATAGGTAGTGATATACATTGTTGAGGCATTCAAAAGCAACAAAACGATGCCAAAGTTTACAGCAGCACTCCAGAACCGTGGCATTGGACAAATGAGACCGTGCATCGGAACAGGTGGCATAAAATCCGCAGCACCAGATGCCGAAACAAAATTACTAGATAATTATGCGAATTCAAGGAACTATTGGCCTTCTGCTCAAAACCACCATACTCCCCATCCGTGCATGATTTACTTGACTAAAGATGATACAATTACTTCCTAAATAACTTTTGATTTACATTGGCACGCGTCTAAAAATGCATATAACGCCAAAATGACATAGGGAATATTAACAAAAGCAGGCCGTGAGCTAATCGCTAGCCGTGAAACATATAAGAAATGAAAGACAACCCCTTCTTGCTTATAATCAGTAAAAATCAGTCACTGTATCACATTTGTTTATTCCATTAGTTCTTATCCCCATACACCTTGTCTTGACAGACCCCCAAACAGTTTCTGCAAACTGCCTCCGCCCTCCCTTTGTCTACCAGACGCATAAAGCTTCTTATCCGACCGGCTATGAATTCTAGTCGAAGTATGACCCTACTATAAATTACAATTTAGCTTATCCCCTTTATAGTTTAGGTCCTAATTTGATACAGAAGGAGGGAGCATATCATTTGTCAATTAGTGAAATCACTAGTTATAAATCGTGCGGCACCTAGCAGTCGTCACAGACATGTCCACACTTAAAGACACCCGGCTTGGACGCGTACTAGCACGCGCGCTCTCATTCACGGCACCTATTATGAGCAGAAGCCTCTTGATCAAAAGTAAAGATTGCAAGCTCGTTGATTGGCCCAGATGTTGCTTAATTGTCCAATCAGGTAAATTTATTTGATAAACCAAACAGGACAGGGGCGGGAGGAAGGTGTAGCACTACTGCCGCCCACCTGTCCACCTCTCCTCCTCCGTGTCGCACCCGTCAGCATTATTACCACTACTACCACCCCCACCACTACTGCTACCTCATTCTCAGGTTCCTACTCTTCATTGAGATAGCAGCCAGCTGGACAACAGTATCCTACACATAACTCACACAACCAACGAGCTGTGTTGGGAATACTTGATAGCTTCTTCAAAATCAGGACCGTTTAAGTGGAACACAATCAGGCGGAACAGCAGTTTAACACTAGTCTCTCAAACAAATAGAAACCCCGTTCCATTCCTACTGGTATGCTTCATGAAATTTTCACTTCATTTAAATGGAAAAGTTACTTTACTTTTTTCCTGCAATATCACATAATACTCAAGCTAGTTTACGGAAGTTCCTTCTCATAAACCACTTTTTCATCAAAAAGAAACAGTCACAATATATCTTCATCGAGGCCCTATTGTTCAAAGTAATATAGTCTTACGCAAGCAATAAACAAAGAATACAACTGAGCTAATTTGCAATTTTTATTGTAATCTTGTTAATTTAGATGTAAAACGAGATAATACCTTATTCTTTTTAAGTAGAATTAGAAGACTTGTTAATAATAGGTGTTTTTATGATCAAATTTAAGATTAGCGACAGACATTGCCCACTTTTCGCTGGCTAAGTATCCCCAAGGGCTGAAGGCAAAGTGTACCATTGAATACAATGTTGTCATAGGATGCATCCCATTTTGAACAAACAATTCCTACGGCCTTCGGTTTTGGCCGCGTCCTGAGAGTTTCATCTCAAGTCGGCAGAAGTGCAAAGTAAATATGCGGCCGTCCAGTGTGTTTTCAGGATGTTGAGGTCAAAAGTTCAATCGAGCTGCAGTTTGGATGAGTAAATTTGAAATGACACTGACTGACGGGATAGGATGCCATTCATTAATCAAATCAAATACAATCCACAAGGAACCGTTAGGTCTGAAATGAAGTCTCAGGTTTTTTTCCACCCCTAAATTAAGACCGCTGGTGAGGGCCTCATTGGCATCGTAAGTCCAGGTAGGAGTGACCAGTGGACTTCTCGGGTGGTGGGTTAAACGTGAAGTAAGAGTGAGGGGTGCATACCTTTCAGATGAATCAGCTACGGTGATCGGAGATGCGTGAGATGTCACGACTCAGCATGCGCCGCTACCAATCGCACCTGGGCGAGATGCCCGAGCCCCTGAGAAAAGTCGCCATTCTGGGCAAGCCTGTGTTTAGCGCCGGCCTCGAGTTTTGTTGGCAGGTCTACGAGGCTCAACTGCAGGAATCGAAGGAGGTGAATCTCATGTTGCAGAGTCCTTTAACAAAAACTTGATATTTCTGTATGAGAAGAGTGGGCTGAAGTCAATCGCCCAACTTGCGATAAAGAGGATTTAGGATTTCATGACAACGTTTTGTCCTTAAGTCTTTTATTATGTTCCTTGTGCCTCCGGCGTTAAATTTTAACAGTAATGAAGGTGCAGTTATTTGCTGAGTTTTGGTACCTAACAATCTCAACGTATATAGACTACTTTTAACTAAATGAAGGAAGAAGGATCCAAACACTTACGCCTCTCAATTTTTAATTAATTTAAGCTATTCATTCGCCTCGACTAGAATCATGGTTTTGGCACTTCATATCAGCTACACTTCAGAGGTTGTTTTTATGTGTTTTGTGTTTTCATAATGGGCAGTATTAACCTCAGGGTTGCTCACGTCATTGATGATTTTTAAGGCAAAAAAATAGCCCTAATAGAATGCATCACCCCACTTTCAAAGATGCTTAAGCCTAAAAAAGTGCCGTAGGACCTTGCAACCGCCAGAGGAAAGGTCAAAAAGGCCATTTCCTGAAGTGAAAAGCGAAATTTGTTAAAAATGTTTTACCAAAGTCTGACTATGTATTCTGGTTGTTGACAAAAACACTGCTAAAAACAGGCAGGATGCTTTCAAGTGCATGCATGCATATGCATATGGGGCTACCAGAGCGATTCATTCGTGTCTGCATTCCTAGATTTGTTCAGCCTTTGTTCTTACCAAACTTGTCACCGACAAGACGGGGAAAATGAGGAAACGCGAAATAAATTTGGAAATCTGCCGCAAGGAAATAGGGACTCTGCGCAATCTGCAACACAAAAGGATTCTCAAGATATTCACCGAATCAGAAGAGAACTGGTAAGAACTTTCAGCGGAGGCATAGGCGGAGCTGATACCAAAGCAATGTAGGATGAGTAATAAAACCACGAAGGTTTTTCAAATCTTTTCGAACAAATTTATGCGTCATTTGTCCTGCATAGTTCTCTCATTAAACTTGGAATTTGACTTGTATTTTGTACAAGCAAAGGTCTGCTTTAGAAGAACAGATTTGGTATTGATAAACATTCACTTTTTAAATTTAGCTATTATCTCTCCTGGATCAGTGAGCCTTTAGCGGGCACACTCCAATCTCTTCTCGACAAATCTCCAAGAGGAGTAAGTCAAAATGACTTACCTCGCAGTTTTTCCATGAAGCAAAATCAAGATGGTGCTTTGAATGGGATAAAGTGGTCACGAGGGCGAAATTGCCCCTCCCACTAACCTTTGAGCTTTCAGAAATATGGAAGCAGCTAAAAAGAATGTTTACATGTTATAGGTGGTAATGGTACTAATTTTGATAACAAATAATGAAAGATGAGGGCCCGGGTCTGAGTAACATTGACGTGAAGTGCCTGACGTTTGAATTTTATCATGCTAGAATAAAGATTGATGGGTGTCACCTTATTCACAGGTGCATTGGGAAGTATTTATACATTAAAGATTCGTCAAAATAATGTATTTCCCTAATTTTATTTTTGCTTACCTAAACTTCCCTTCCATATTGCTAGAGTCAGCTTATCTTACGGTAATTTTGGAGCACATTATTGAACTGCAACATATAAAGAGCAAAAGTAAGGCTAAAAAATGAATGAATTTTTTTGGAGGTAATTTCTTGGACACCATTTAAACATTGCTCTAGAACTGAATCCTCATTCTCATTTTAGCAACTTCTGGGGATGGAGCTGGAAATTATACTTGGAGTTTTTCAAGTAAGCATTTGGTTTTTTGGGTGGGAAGAAAAGCGCATTTGATATCAACAGGTCCAAATCAGAGCTTAAAAGATTTGCTTGGTCAGGCAGCTACTTTAAAATTACTGGTTTAAATTACCACATCCCCTTTTCCATTTTTGCTGCACGCGAAACAAAATCTGGAGAGAGTAAATCGCGGTTAAGATCAAACTCATCACAGTTTTCCATTGATGAAAGAATCTAAAAGACAGCTGAAAGTCTTTACCTTTGTTGCGCTCTAGAAAAGAAATCAGCTAGCTTCAATTAAAAATTGAAATAATGAATCCTTTTAGTGTGTAATCTACTCATTCTTTGGCCCGTGTAAGTTTAGAATTTAAGTGATGTATGCATAACCAGTAACCAAAAGACATTTCGCCCTTTTCTAATGTCTTCTCTACACGTAGTTGATGGAGGCTTGTGGCAAATTGTGGTTCTATAACTTCAGGTAAACAGTCATCTAAGTCCCAATGCATTACTTACCCTCCACATGTGGTAGCATTTTTGGGTCATCATAGATGTATAACTATAATAATTTCTATTTAGACTTCTCTATCTCCACATTTAGGTTGAGGAAGCCGACTTACAGTCCATCTACATTTAAAGGATAAAATGGTTGTCCTACGTTCCTAGTCGCTCGTCGATTGTCATACTTACTTCTAAAAGGGCAAACAATATGGACTTTGCATAATATTTCTGCTTTTCATTAATAATGGCAGTCATTGATGGTAAAGTAACCATACCCTGGAAGAGCACCTTACAAAAATACCAGCAGTAAAAAGTGGTGATGTACCACACGGGAGTGCCAAAATACGCTAAGACTTCGTTGAGTAATGATGGTTTGGCCAGAAAATTTTATGATCAATGAAATTTAACCAATTTTAAGCAAATATGCTCCAGCAATTTCCACTGCTTTTGAAGAGGCGAGTCCTACAAGAATGACCAGGCATCATTTGTTGATTTTTTTCTAGGTAACAGACGCTCTGCGTTACTTGCATGGAACCCAGAACCTGATGCATTGTAACATTTGCCCATCATCCATTTTTGTCAACATCTGCTTCCAGTGGAAGTTGGGTGGATTTGGACTTGCGGAAAGCAGTGCTGACTCAGTGAAGGTATGTCACGACTCACAGAAAGCTCGGTTTTGTCTTTTATACACCCGAATTGGCTCAGACTATAGTGGTTTTCATAAATGGGCTTTAACGTAGAATCCAAATTCTTACTAATAGCAAAATAAGCGCAGTAATCCGCGATTCAATTCTCGATGCTTCAAAATGCATGTTCAAATGAAACATATTTATACATAGTAAATAACTGACAAAGCTGGCATCCATCACTTTGGTACTTGTAGCCACGCGTAGTAGACGTAAGGATTAGTTCAGAGCTTTCGATTGTCTTAAAATTCAAGGGACCTCACCGATTAACGTCCCCTTTATTCAGCAGACATCCCAGCTTATCAGCTAACGCGACTTTTGTCGTATCGGCGATTCTTTACGCACATAGTATCCACCCTGAAAGACACATCATGAATGACGATTGGGTTAACAGGAATTTGCAAGCATTTTTACGAACGAGCCTCGATTTTAACAAACGAATTTGTGGTTTTCATGGTTGTTTTACGCTGGATTTTATGACTAAATATTACAACACTATTTAAAAATCAGTTAATTTGATTCAGCCTACACCGTCATTCCAGACCTATTGCAGGTTTACCAACTACCAAAAGGAGCTTTAAAATTAATACTCTCAATCATTGACAACATTGCATCCTCCTTCGTCAAAATAAGGCTAGCTTCACGGGTTTCAACCCGAAAGGTGGGAGGAACTTGCAGCCAGACCTGGACTACATTGCACCAGAGGTTCAGTTGCATCACACAATGTCTCCTCTGGCGGATATCTTCTCCCTCGGCATGGTGATCTGCTCTGTCTTCAACGACGGGGTCTCCCTTCTCCATTGCGAGGGCAGCGTGGCGAACTATGTGAAATGCATTTCATGCGTAAGCCAGAGGCGACAGGCCTGCAACCATCCCTTAACCGTGCATTTACCCCTTCCATCATACTGAAGTCGTTTGTTAGAAAAAAGCTGTTTAGCGAGTAAATTTTACCTTCTAGATCCACCATTATAGCCGTTCTCATAGGATAGTAGCTTAGTGATCTTATTTCGGCAACACTATTGTAAGCATGCAGTTAAGCATGGTAAATGACGGATATCTTGAGAAGTCAACCAATGAGGTAATTAGATGTAGCAGGGGTAGGAAGTAATTTAAACTCAAGCCTTTATCACTTGTTTTTAATGTGTTTTAAGGTGATACCATCGACACTCACGTGTGAGTGCAAATATACTTACGCATTCTTGTGTCTGATGAGCATAAATTTTAAATTTTTTTAGTAAAATAGTGCTTTGAAGCAAAAGCCCCGTGGTTTTTTAAGCCTAGTTAATTCTGCTCGCAACTTCTTCACTAATTAAACCATAACAGATAAAGTAGATTCGGTGTTTTGATGATTCACAAATGCTTTTCTATTTACTTTAGGAGATTAACGTCTGAGAAGTTTTGAAATTATTCCTCAAGAAAACTACCCTCAATATTTAAATTACAACAAGCTAAACCGAAGTAAATATTTGATAACTGGACTGGTTTAGCTTCTATTCTTATTTAACCATAAATTAAGATTTAAAGTGAAGAGACAGGCGGTAAAGAAGTTGGTAAACAATTGTACTCTTACAAGCACATATGACTAACGCCCCTCTATGCATTTCAAGGGTATACTGTGTATCTCATCTGCTGGGAATACCCATTCACTGGTGCGATACGACGTTCACACGCGGTGGAAGCGGTAACAGCTCACATCCTAACCTTAATAGTCCTCCTTTCATGGGTGCTTTAGCTAGTATTACCCCGTGGCACTTCGTGTTAAAATAGAAAGGGATAGCTATTGTTAGGCGTTTCATTCATCCATCGTAGCGCCTGGACCGTCCATAATGTCCAAAGAAGTCATAATACTAGGGCCGAATTAGTATTGCTGGCGTAGAGAAGGGCTGGGAAGGGGCTACTGGCATGGCCTGGAGACTAGGCGATCCGGCGGAGCCTTTATTGCGAGCGAAGCCAAAACGAAGAGCTAGCAATATACTATACTATGTTAACCATGGATACTTGCTTAAGTAGTCCAAAAGTCCTACAGGCTGCATATTAGGTGCTAATTTATTTTAACCATTACTATACCTCTTGAAATAGCGAGAGCATTGACCTTTCTAAGTATAGCTTTTCCATGGGATATGAATCATATCTTAAGCGATTATTTAAATTTCCATCTTTTTTTCCTTTCTTCAAACCAAGTCAAGCTATCGGAATTCACAGCTAATTGTGTCGCCAAGAGAAGGTTCTACTGATAGATAATCGAGTGAGGATGGGCTTTTTTCGCACTATCCTTTTTAGTTGTTAATGTGCCGAAACGATAGAAAGAATTGAACCGGCTCAAAAGAGTAGTCATTTTTTGCCACCTTATGCATATCCCTCTTTCCTAATTAGACTTTTCATTTAAAATACAACGTTTTAAATAAGAGCCCGAAATAATAATAGTTGAAGATTAAATACTTTATCTTGGCAAGATGTTCTACTCAATTGTGCCGTAAAATCGCATCTAGGTTAGCCAGTTAACGGCCTTTCTTCAAATTATGGCTAACAAAGAATGATAAAATTATTTACGTGTTTACAGGGCATAGTAAATTTACTACATAAATTACTTTTTTTAGTTACCTCAAAAGTTTCAAGAGATCAGTGATCGAATGCCGAAACCCCTAATTGAACCAGTACGAAAGATGATCAGCCAAGATGTCCGAGAACGACCCACATCCCAACTCCTTGCCCTGGTAGGTTTTGTCTTCCCAGTTAGCCTTCCAGTACCTTGAATAGATGCAAGCACTTTGTGCACAGGCATTAAGCAGTCACTTTAGTTGGAGTTTATTTAAGGTTGAAAGTATCTTTGTTTTCTACTGTATAATATCAAAAGTGTAGTTGGGCACAACATCACGTCACACGATTTGGTGACTGAATTTTGGCATATCGGTGGTTTAAACAAAGAGCCCCAATACTGGCTCATGTTGCCTGATGGTTTTGTGTAATGTCTACTTTAGCATCCGAATGCCTAATTATCCTCAAAATTGTCAAAGTCGAGAATCTAGATGTTTCAGGTATCAAATCCAAATTAGCGCTTTATTTTTAGGTCTGCTTATCAAAATAAATGTGGTGACATTACAATAGAGATTAAAAATAAAGATATAAAACCGGATTACAACTGAAGGGGGGGGGGGATGGGGATGAGGGGGAGGGAAGGAGAGATAATCGCATGAAGTCAAGACGCAGGCTAATTTGATTGCCTGTCATCCTACTGTCGCTGTACTGATTCATTACTTCTTCGCGCACCTCAAGTTACCTTGTCATCCCTCTTTGCTGCTGGTGGAGATAAACACTTCACTGCTATTACGCTGAAAGAGAAATGCTCTAGCCTACATATAAACCGACCACATTTTCAGGGCTCTGCATGGTATGCCATTTACGATTAGCCATTATAAGTCCATTAAGAATCCGACCATCTGGACATCCTACGATAGGTAAAGTTTATGTCCACAAATATGAAGCAAAGTTTTCATCAAGTTGTGAATTCCTAACTTCCATTTTGCAAGTAACTTTGATTTCAAATGTCAAATCGTAGCTAAAATTGTCTCGAACGTAGACAATCCATGTTGGAACCACGAGGGCATTTTCAGTCTTCTTGGCTAAAGTTTTGGCTAGGTTTGACATTTCTCTCTGCTTCACAAAGGTCAGCGGCATACAGGGGTCATGACAAAAAGATAGAAAAGGGTAAACAAGGTCTACAAGCCGCTATATAGCAAAAAAACAAGTGAAACATCTACTATGGGCTAGCATTGAATAAGATGAGGTATCGCAAATGCAACGCCTGTTTATTTATTCGGGCCCTGCTTTACAAGTGCGCAGGTGGTTACACTAAAACTGCGTCCCAAGCGCTTTGGTAACATTTTGAAACGAAGTTACCCGGGGAAGTTCTTGATCCGAGGCCAATTACATTTTTTAAAAAAGGCCATTGAGAAACAGTTGAATTAGTCCGTCGAAAGTACGATTACACATCTGCGTGGTTGTGGTGGTCGGTCTCTCACCTTTAAATCTAGAAAGTAAACTTGTGGAAACATGTAATTACTTGGTAAAGTTAGGTCTACTGAAACCACGGTTCTGTTCAACAAAGCACTTGTAATTAATTAATTAATTACAAATCTCCATGTTATCTTAAATGTGGATTTAAGGTTCTAATTTTCATTTATAAAGCTAATTGCACCAAGGGATATACAACAGTAGCCCATGGACCGGCATTGTTTCGAAGCAGCCCTGGTACTTGGAAGAGGATAAAGGTACTCGATTAAGGTATTCATGTTGTGGACGAAGAAATGCGATTCCATCTGCATCAACAAGTCTACTGAAGTGAAGTGGCAGAAGTCATACTAATCAGAGGACCATGAGTGCCCTATCATTATTGGTTTGTTTGACAGCAACAACACTAAAGAAGACAGTGTTTTGAGCAGAGATAGTCTATTTCATCTAATTTTTTTCTACTGGGCCAAATTCTTGCATTTTCCCATATTATAGGCCTAATTGTCAGTTTTCTCTACTACATGGCTAACTGCATAAATGAACTGAATGTATGGAAAATTTGCACCCTGATGGAGACGGGGTGATGACCCCACTCTCTGCAGGGATTCGTGGTAATCCATCATTTTAGCAATGTTTCGTACACATCATTCAAGGCGATCCATTTGAGGAAGTAGTTTTTCGACTTTACCGTAATTTACATTGAGGGTGAACACCGATATATTACAATCCATTAGGAAAGTTTTCCCTCTTTACAGTCCGGACCCCAAGTTCCAATCGCTATCGATGGAATTGTGAGGAGTGTATGCGGCTATCCATAGAGCTGTTTTGTTGTCAAATAAAGGTTTAAAATCTGCTTAAGAAATGTACCAGTACTACAGCTTATCGAGACTACCCTGGAGACCAAAGAAGACATAATACTTGGGTAGAACACGCCTTTATATATATATGGTTTACGGTTAGGCTTGGGGCTACTGGCAAGGCCCGGAGGCCAGCCCACCCAACGAAGGTACAATGGCGGATCACTTAAGCGGCCTGTTTACCAACATATTATATAGTATTCAAAATTTTTATAAGTGTAACAGCACTTTTAGCTCACCATTTCATGTTCAGTGGAAACGTCGATTTCAACTTAGCTGTTTGTCGGCATGTGATGAAGATTTAGGGAAGCAAACTAACCTGACTCATCTCATTGACCTTCTAGGTACTAAAAACAGTAACTCAAACGAGACATTTAGATAGCATGTGACTTTTGATGGATGACCCACCGTTATAAGGATGGTTATTTATTCAAATGCACTAGAGATGAGTCAAGTCACATTTTGACTGCATAAATTAGAATGTCCGCAATGAAATAAACATGTAGCCTCCAATCCGGTGAATTGCTAAGCTATGGTAAATTAAATGGCGAACCCTTTGGTTAATTTGCATTTTAGTCGACTTGAGTACTTCACATTAAGCTTTTCGCAGTTTGTTCAATGAATAGACAAAAATTGGACAATTTTGGAATTGCTATTTGTCAAACGATAAACCGGCCTCATTAAAAACAAAAAATCCCCCGTTGCATCTGTAATAAAAACAAGGTTTTTCAAATATGCCGAAAGCACAAGATAAGAATAGGCCGATGAAAATTTCCCATGACTTCCAAATATCGTTTCCACGAAAGCCATGTCACTAGTGTGTAAAACTGCTGTGTCTTATTTGGCTTAGCTCAAGCTCTTCAATGAACCCTCCCTCCTCTCGTACGAGGGACTCTTGACTCTTCAAACTCGATCACAAAATCAGATCAAGGAATTCTTCAATCGTTTCGCCAAAGCCATTCCCGAATTTGATGAGGTAACAGTATTTCCTTGGTCACTGGTTAATTTAACCAGCCTTCCCGTGTATTTCGAAGTCTTTGGTAACGGCTGAATGCATCACATAAGTGGCTCTTTAAATAATCAAAGCCATAAATAGGGTCTTTAATGTCAGAAGATCCCCGTAAGCCATCAGAGGTTAAGTTAGTTGGAGTCCTAAGGCCTCAAATACAAGATTTCAAGCCTCGTGTTAGAGCTATTTCTCAATGAACTCGTTACTTTAAGAACAGTTTATGTTTGACTTCTTGACAGGTTGTTAGTATTGCGTGCTCCAGAGGCCTACCACCTTCAATTCCCAGTCACAATAAATTATCTAATCTTTGACAGTTGCGCGATTATTTCCCAGGGAATTTGGTGTGCACAAATATATATTAGTGATGTGAAATAAAAATGAATTGTCTTGGGAAGATGCTTCTCGAGTCTTCCAACCAAAAGGGCGAAAATCGAGGTTAAAACAGTTGCTTTCACTGAAAGGAAAAACATGTCAGGCACACAGCATTGCTGCTTCTATTTAATTCTAGTTAATTAAATAAATTGTGCCTTTCCTTTTTGGGGACAAATGCGTTTTCAGGTAAAAACGGTTCCTAGCTGAATAGACACGTAAAAAAGACGACAACGCCCATCGGGTAGAACGACAGATTTTCCTGTTCATTTAAGCCATTTAAAGTAGTTTGCACCAAAGAGTTGGTGGATGCAATGAAGCGGGTAGCCCCCTCCAGCACAAATAAGCTGGTATTTTGAAGTTTTTGCGGAATGTGCTAAAACTTGTAGTGGTTTTGTGCATGCAAAGCCTGACCTAGTTTCGCCGAAAACCAACATCTTCAAGGGGTATTTTGCAGGACTTCCGTTACAAGAAGGTGCTTCCACTGTTGTGGGAGTGGTATGACAGTCACCCTGATCTTCAGTCCTTCGTCCTCCCCTCCATCCTAGCCGCCACTCACATTGCTGAAAGGGCTGATTTCGATCTCCACCTGCACGACCGACTCTGCTCCGCACTGCGGAGTCACAGGAGCAAACAGGTGAAGGATGTATACAATCCGTACAGACTAGCGAGTGATGCAACTATACCTTATTAAAGGTGTTTTCTGTCCCATTTTTTACGTTTGTTGCTTAGTGGCTGTTAGGAACATTGTGCAACTGACGTTACTTCAGTTCTTGGCAAAAAAATAATTATCTTCATAAAACCCTATTGTTCAATATATGTTGAATAGAAAAGTTGGTGCCAAAAGTTGGTGAGAATAAATGGGGCGCCACTTTGTCATTTCCACCTTTCCTACGTTGCACCTTTTAGCATTGAATTAGCTAAATGCTTATACGGGCATAAACTAATAAAGATGTTTTATGCTCACATAAACTTATTTTTAAGTAGGCGTCATTAGAAAAGCCCATTTGCCGCCATTTGGCAGGAGATAAAAGATGTGCTTTTTCGCTTTTACGATGCACCGGCCTGCATTCTTGATACTTCTGCCTTATCGTAAAACTAGATTCGAAAATGTGGTTAAACGTATCTGCGAACCTTTGTTTTGGGGCATTGTGCCCAGGACGATGGGTTGCCGCTAGTTTACCCGATTTCAACTGCTACCTCTGCCTCTATTACTAGTCAGTCTCATGAGCAGGATTTGCCCACTCAGCCTTTGTTCTTTTCTCATAAAAATACTGCATAGTTGTGATTAAAAAGTAGTATACGCGTAAGGAGTCTCCAATCTTCTTAAAAATATAAGAATCTTAGTGTACCTTGTCACTGTCAAGAAGAGGTTAGTGACAGATTGTACGTACTATTAATACATGACAAAGTGGGGGAAATTTTCGTTGGGATCTCAGTGAACATTGTGTACCTGATGCAGAGAGCAGAATTTTTATGGTCTGTGAGATAACGCATCGTTTTATAAGAAGTGAAGTATATCAAGGTTTGCGTCCTTTGAAAATAAAAGTCACCTACATCTAGCTACTAAACAATTTATATGCTCACCTTAGACGTGAGAAGTCGGAGCAGGAATGGTCTCTGCACTCTACCAACCTGTTGTAAGTAAATTTAAAAAAGACACTGCAAAAAATAATCAAAAGAGGTGGTGCTTTCTTGACAGAACCCAAGGGAATAGCTCATGTACAGGGCAGTGGTAATTATTAGGTCACGGACCTTGGCGCTGCCGATCGGAGATGCACTCTCTAATAACAAAGTAATTATAGGCTCACGAGAATTCTTTTGACAAGAATTTTTGCTCTTTGAAACTGCTTCTGTCTACACAGCCTAACAGGTAGCTAATGGATGGCACTTTTCATTTTTTTTTTAAGCCAGACAAATCATCAGCTGGACTTTCGAAACGCCCTTTTCACTTCTTTAAGGCTTCAGTTGCATCGAGATGATTCTGCTGTTATAAGTTCATACTTATTAGATTCTAGCACGTAATTTATTTCATCCCTTTCAGACAAGTCTAGTTGCACTGGATTTGGTAGAATTCTTCATAAAATACCTCACATCCGAGGAAATCGTTGAAATAGTTCTACCCGACATCGCCAGCTGCATCAGGATTGGCAGTCGCAAGTCCCTGGTAAGCGTACTCCAACCTTACTCTGAATATTCCATTTGAATAGTTAATTTGTTTGGTAATGTTTTAGTAGGGGCAGTCACCGTGAGGGAAGGACTCCTTGAAATGTTTTTGAGCTGCAATAATTTCATGTTGAACGAGGGGCTGACACTACGCCTTCTCTCCTTATAACCAGAGCATTAAAATTTCATTTCACGTTTTTTTCCAAATGTGCAGTAGGAAAACAGGAACTAGGTTTTTGGTTAATGCAATATTTAATTTGCCATTAATAATTGAAGTAGACAGCACTGGAGATGCTAATCTTTAAATTTAGAGGTCTTAATGAATTTTAAAGAGAATTTTTTATCTTCGGTGAAATGACCAGTGTAAAATGTTTTGTCATTACTGAAAGACATTTGCAGCGGAATATCCATATGGCTTGAGTTTGATTCTACAACACTTACCGGTGCTAAAATTCTGTGCACATCAGTACTGATTTTAATGTCCTAGGACCCGGTAAAAAATGCCGTCTACGTTTTGCACGACTATCTTGGACCAGAAGAGCTAGAAAATCACGTCTTTCCACTACTAAAAGACGCTATCGAGGAGAACGATTCTTCTGGTTTGGTATGTGAGATTGCCTTTAAAATATCTAGTGGATCTTAATCTAGTTGTGGATTATTTAAGCTGAAGTAGGCCGGACACTAGAGTACATGCATTTTTCTATCTTTCCTGCTGGTGAGACGTTTTGTTCTCTCATATTTTTAGACCAGTTTATTTTCTCTTATTTTTACTATGCACAATAAATATCTAAAAAGATAAGGTAATAACTTACAAAGTGCACAGATTTTATTCGAAATCGTGGTTAGAATGGCGCAAGGTGACACCAAATATACGGATTGGATCAGCTGACCAATTTATTATTTAAACCCTCCAGAGACCGTCTAGAAATGGAGCTGTTTTCGTCCGTTTGCGAAGTAAAATTTATCTCCTTCATGGGAAGCCCTCTAAATACGAGCCGGATTGCATTGGATTAGAAGGAGGCGGTTAAATTTACTTCACATCTATAGACTGCAATGTCTATGGAAATTACTATCCCTTAAACACTTGGCACTTAGTTTGATTGAAGAAAATTAAATGCTCTTATTCCTGGCTTTCTAAAATAAGTTCGCGAACCACTTATTTATCCATGATTGTTTTTCAGTACCTTGAAATAGGGACCTTTGACAATTACGGGAACTTCCCTCACTTCACTTCACTCACATTGCAAAGTTATTAAGCTAAATTTTGACAAGGACACGCTGACCTCAGGCACATTTATTCCCCTCTGCATTGAACTTTAAAGTCATTATTGTCGGATAATACTACCTGCTCTGCAACAAAACGACAGGTAAAGAGAATGATAATTGCTACCGTAAAGTTACAACTCCCTTCTACCCACCATGCGTGGACTTTCTGTAAAAGACCCTTTTCTGTCGTCAGCGAGGCGGAAGAGTTGATGCTCTCAGCAGGTAATAATGCGCCCTCTTGTCGAAATCTTAGATTCAGAACGTGATGCTGGATTGCATAGAAAGTCTCGTTCCTCACTGCAGACCGGTATTCGTGACCAAGGACCTGCTTATCTTCCTGGCCTCCATGCCCACTGCCAACATCGAAGTTGTATTTAATGTTGCAGGTAATGTTTTTAAGCCCAACAAGTACGTTTCAAGATGATTAGGAATGAGTTAAAATGGACGCATCAGTGAAGTGCGCCTCAAGCTTTACTTGTTCACTCAAATCGTGTGATAATCCAATGCATCACTGACTGACCTAAACTGAAATGTCCTAACTCTGAAGCTTGGATTTTCTCATCTTCGACTGGTGCCACAGACGCGTAATACGCATTCGCAATCGGTCCAGCAGTACTAAATCGTGTTGCAAGCGGATCGGTTGAGTTTTAAAACAATAAAACAGATGCATTATAGTCATTGTCTAATGGTAATCGTACTACTTTGATTATTTGTTTAACCCGTTGTTTTGATTTCATGGGCACTTGAAGCTCAGACTCTGTACTCCCACCCAGCGGCAATACGTCGACAATGCACATTCTGCCCTAGTATTGCGTGTTCTTACATTTTCAGGAAAGACTCGGAGCGCTACAACAAATAAGTTATTAACTTTCGAATTTTAGGATTTAAAGTTGAATTTGTCAAAAGGAAAATAACAAATAATTTGACAATGGAACAATAAAGCACCTCATTTTGGTAACCAGTTTTCCTCTGCCCTAATAGCGAACGTGTTTTTTTCCTCAATTCACCTTCTTCTCAAAATGACACTTAAAAAGAAAATCGCAATTCGGTGATGGAATTTTGCGAACTGCCAGTTATTGATGAAGATCTAGTTTCAAAAATAACACATATTAATGCGAGGTTTTGTGTGGATTGAAGATGCTTGGAGAAGTTTTCACTATGGCAACATCATCAGAACTAAATCATTCGAGCATAAGACTCTTAGTACACCTCCGGTCGTTTGGCTTTTGGATGAGTCTATCAAATCCCAACGTCGAAGCAATGCAGCCTCCTGTGGTATACACGACCGCAGCTAATCTTTTCGAATCATCAAACACCTGCACTCCCTAAAATATGCACATTTCGCAAACTCAAGCATGTGATCAAGAAATATTGTTATCCTCTTGATTGCACGAAAGTGTACCTTTTGAAGAGCAGGCAAAATTACGTGTTGCGTCGCGAGTTTCCGACTAGTGCTTATGGCATAATAAATAGTTCAATTTTTCATTCAATTTTTTCCTTAACCTCCCCATTTTTCAGCAATGCAAACCGGTGAGTTAAATCAGCATTTGACTCACAACAGATGTTTGGAGCTCCGTAAATTTAAAAATGCAAATCCAACAGACCCTTAGGCAACAGTCATCAAGCGCGAAAAGTATTGAAGCACTACGAGACTTTCTTGAAGGTAAAAGAAGACATAATAACAGGGCAGAATATGCACTGCTGACATATAGAATGGCCGCTCGGTTACTGGCACGGCCTAAAGGCCACGCCACCCAGCAAAAATACAAAAACGGAGTCTTAAGTGCCCTTGAAGAAAAAAAGGAAGTGTTAAACGAATGATTGAGGCATTATAGTACCGTATTTTGTTCCTAAAAATCTGCTTTTTGTCTTGCCTGAGTACCGCCACATTTGAGTGTGTATAAAATGACGGGCTATGACAAAAATGCGGTGGTTGTTTAAAAATTACTCCTCCCCAAGATATCAAATTTCACTCACTCAAAGTATGCCTTTTATTACTTTTTTATGCCAAGATAACTTTCATTTCAACCAGTCTATATCATTTCTGGAAATTTATAAGACTGCTTAGAAGAACATGCTATTTCATCATGCTTACTTAACACTTAGCTCAACAGGAAGGTAGTGAACATGAGACGTCAAGTGATGCAGTAATTTCATTCTTTGTTTATTAGGCATCTTTCGTAAGGTGCTTTGCGACTGCAAGTTCCATGTCCCCTACTCGCTCATCGCGACAAAGCTACTGCCTCCACTGATACCCCTGCTCATCTCAAAGAAACTGAGTCTCACAGAGGTAAGTTGATGGCTTACTGAGTTCCTACGTCCGGCACTCGTCTGAAGTCTAACCGGGATGACGTCTGGGACTCCTAGGCGCTATGTATACCTCTACCTTATGTTTTTGTGCCACATTTAACTGGATTTAAGTGATAATTAAAATTGCAGCTCCAATAGCTAACTTTAAACTACTTAAGAACTCGAAGAGCCATCAAATGTTTACTTTTGAATTATACCCTCATTTTACCACATCCCTATGAGTTGGACACTTTCTGAAGCGCATTAGTCTCCCCTTACTTATCCAAAATGTGCGATGGATTTGATTCACGAGGATGCCTTTTTACTACAAAATTTAATACTAACTTATGAAATGCTACAGTATGGAAGAAAATGCAGACGTCTTCTAAATAAAACAGGCTTTTCCCCAAGTTATAGCTCTTATTTTCCCCTGTTCAGGCCCTATCATCACTTTTACTTCAGTAGACTTAGAAGTTATTTGCACTTTTAAAACTACCCCTCGCTTAAGGCTACTATTTCCGAATGAAGCAACACTTAGAGGGTACACCACGCAAAAAAGGGTAGACAGTAGAATCTTATATGTCACAATCACCTCTTTAATTCTTACTATCATGAACGTCGAGGACGGGAAGCACCGAAGGTATTCCAGTCACACTGAAGCAATTTTTTTTATTGAGTGGAGGCGTTCTGTTGCCCAAATTCGAAAAGAATCTTTAAATTCTTTGGACCCCTGTAAAAAAATCTCTAAATTTAGTGGTAAGTGAAAGGCTTTGTACTCAGCCGTGAGATTCATAGTTGGTAGAGATCTGGGCAGGAAGCCTACGTTGCATGGCCATTCTCCTTATTTCCACGTTTTTTCTTTACATTGCTTCTGTTAATTTACATACCTAATTTGTTGATTGCTCTCCAGCAGTGCCCCTCAACGCCAAGCTCTGGGAAAATTGATAGTGTTAAGTAGGCACTAATCATTCAACTTAATTATCCATTACGGAGGCCCTCTTAAACTTATTTGTAAGCAAAAGCTGATGTGAATGTCAACTAACAAATGATATAAATGTGTTCACCGTGACTATCCCAATGAGAACCAGAGCAAAAGGAGTCATCCATCTCCTAAAGTGAAGTTGAATTGTCCACTTTTCCAGCCCAATGTGATACTTGGATGGATTTAGGTTTATTTGTTTTACCACTTTCAACAACTTCGTCTTCAACTTCAATTCATTCGCACTTATTCAGATTAAGCGCCATGATCTTCAAGATACACAGGATGAGACGTCTCGGCTTCGTTCATAACGCCAAATTATCAACCGTGTCTAATCATTTTCTGCCATCGACGATGCTTCTGCACTTATTGTTTGGACAAGTAATTTCTGGTGCCTGTAGGAATTGTGGCAGAATTGGAAAATCGTCATCGATACTGTGCGGGTTTTCAAAACAGCACCAACAACAATAATTCCATTATGCATGCCCTCATCATAAAATAATTATTCCTGATTCATTTTAATTAGCTTTAAAGCCTGATTACATTCATATACTCTTTAATTGATAATCCTGTTGTTTGCGCATTATTTGTATTTTGAAGGAGCACTCTGATAAAGTTAGACCCGGAAGTAATTTTTAACCTCCAGCACGTCATAACTCAAAAACGCAGTGTCGGGAGACATGATAATTAATGAGGAATCCATTGAATTCTGGCATTTCAACAACACTTATCGAACGTACCAATCCTTTTTACCTACTACCCGATGTGAGTAGAGTCATGACCACCATATTTTTTGCCACATGATGTTATCTGCATTCTTTTCACTTGACGACTTTTGTTGTAGTTTTGCGCTCTCATGGGAGTGGCTCGTTTGATGCTGGAGCAAATTGACCGAGGAAGGACAATCGAGTATTCACGAAAAAAAAGTCTGAGTGCAGATGAGGGCATCATGGATTACAAGTGAGGCTAAACACTTTCCGACTTCTCCGCCTCCACGACTCTCGCAACTGTTCATCTTAATGGCTTGAAATTCGCTTAGGTTAGGGACTTCTCAGCCAGGCATATTGCTAGTAGACTAACAAGAAAGTGTAAGACTATCCCATTTTAAGTGAGCCCCAGTAACATGGTCAGTTGTTTGTACTCCCAACTGAAGCATGGTTTTCGGTAAGTTAGTTAATAATTTCGCTTGGTGCGAGCTTCATACTATAGAAGATTTGATGGTTCTCAAACCAGCAGTCAAAGTGAGTTTATAATTTCCTAGCATATCTTTTACACCAACCAGAAAATTCATTGAGCCTCAGTACTGCCCATTCTGTCCTACTGTGCACGGGTAATTGCAGTTTCGCGCCTTCCCTATTATGCATACACTATAAAATCTCTTAGCAGTAAAAATTCTACAAATTTCGGCGAAGTCCACCTTGCTTTAACCCGATGTTTGGCTTTTCAAGGGCGCCTCAATGTGTCGGACGTACTCAAGCGAGTAGCCATCGCAAGGATGTAAAAAGTCCCATTAATGGAACTGTGGCTTGATACATCCACGCGTAACCGATTTACAGAGCAACACATTTTTTGCAAAAGAAGAACCATAAAACCTCAGTCTGACTTTGCTTGTATCAAAAGCTTTTAATCAGGGCCCTACTGAACTTTATTGGTCAGTTCGTTCTCCACGGCCCTTATCGTGATTTCGAATGCGCCAATAAGAGTAAGGAAGTAGTAATAGACAAAAAGCTAGCCACTTTTCTTTCCACAAATCAGGCAGCATTCTGACCCTCATTTAGCTCACATTTTAAAATGCACTGTTTTGAATTGCGTGCATTTTATTCCAACATCAAACAAACAGGCATACCATTGGCTGTCCTCCAGCAATTCACTTTCTCCCCACACGACTCTTAGTGTGTGGTGGACTGCAAATGCCGTTTTTCACCGCGAACTTCTTGCTAAGAACTAAACAACTGTGGTTAAGACCTCTTCCTTCGCTAATATTTGAAGATGCCAAAGAAAAAGCTTTGTCTTCAGAAATTGACAGCAACATTCAATTGGTTAAAAGGAAGTGCTATTTTTACAAGATAACACGATGCAAAGCCTACCTGTGAGAAGGTTTGCATTTTGGTATTGTGAGAGGGAGAGATGTGCTGTCCTACCTCACCTTCTGCATTCCATTGTCCATATTTCTTTAAGTAATTGTCTCCTCCTTTTGGTATTACTATCGGGCAGTCACATGTGAAAAAAATTGACACTTGGGAAGTGAATGTAAGGCAAAAACCCGGGGGCCGGTTGCTTTTTGCCCCTAAAGACAAAACATTTTGTAATGTTTGGGTTCGCAGTAGGCTTGTTTTCCACTGGGAAAAGGTTGAAGACCGTAACTATGTTTTTCTTTCGCTTACTAAATAATTTAGCGACTTTCTACGATGTTGTGGTTTCTGCTAAATGAATCGTGGAAAATTTTTTAATTACCTTACTCTATTAAAATAAATGATGCTCATCAAAGTGTATAAAATAATTTTTAAGCACAGATCAAGCCACGTTTAGCCCTCTTTTACTGTCGCTAGCCTCAAGAACCTAAAAGATTCTAAAAAAGAGTTTGTCCTCATCAAATGACAGGTTATTTTCTTCTTTTTGCTAACAGTAGGAAATCCGAATGTTCTAATTTGGCTAATATCGGAGGTTAGGGCGAGCCCCTAATCACTGGTGCGCAATTATGCTCTGAACTTCTCCAATTGATACTTTTAGTGTCAGAACGAACACCGGTTACTACAGAAACCTCCCTCTCATTTCCATGCAACAGCCCACAATTGACTTTTCCCGAAGTCCTCCTAATCCCAACCATGTCAATCTGTCGCGCCCGCGATCCCATTCCTCTGGCCAGTTTTTTTTCTTTTACAATTAACTGTCCAATGTCGCATCTTGTCAACTTGTTAGCTTAACGTTAATGTTTAGCTTTTTCTTTTTTAAATTTATGATTCTTGAACGAAAGGCAGGAAACTCTCAGTGTCATCAGAACAAGTAATGATTTATTATAGTAGTGTGACTAATGTGACTTTATAGACGCAGAAGAAATATGGTCAACGAAAAAACAAGGATGAATATTTCTTCATCCCTTCTCTTATAGATTCGAACGCTTTCTCGATTGGCATCCAGTCCAGTACGTCTCCTTGGAGTTCTAGTCGACAGTTCCTAAGTCGACTTCGAGCTTCCAGTCAGTGCTCGGAGACCATGCTCCAGAGAGGTTCCACACCTTTCGGTAGTTTCATCTCCCCCAACAAAGTAGTTCTAGCATAAAATTTGATGCCCTCTGATGCAAACTGACTTATAAATTAGTTTTTAGTACTATGCAATACTGCAATCTCCTATCCCACTACTATGTGACAGCAAATCATTTTAACTTTGAATTCGGTAAAGAATAGAGTGAAATTGGTTCCACTCTTTCAAAAATAAATACGATGACAATTGGTTCGAAAAGTAGAGTGAATGCGTTCTGTTAACTTTGGGCACTGTCCGCAGATGCGCAATCATGAAAGTTGTTTTTTTATTCATGAAACTCAGCTGAAACATCCTCTATTGTCGGAACAGCAAATCCATAGTGAACCACTACTTCTGTCCCGGCATCGTAAAGCTTCCGATAAGGATCATTTTCAGCCTTCTGGCATGTTTCCATACCCTATCATACTTACGAGTATTGACTGCGTCAACGGCTTACCTAAAGCTATTTCTCTCCTTTCGGAACGTGCATTTTATTAGGCTTAGGCTGTGTGTGGGGATTATTAATTCAAAAATTAATCACATGCGTGTTTGCTGCTTTGCCCAGCTGGTCTGCAGTACCTGCGGCCACAGGACAAGACACGTAGCAATCCCAGCTTTGGCCAGCGGCTTTCACTAAGCCTTCTGCCCAGGGCCTCAAGAGCTGCCTCGTGGAACAACTCGGCTACTGCACTGGCGGCACTGAAACGACGTCGCTCCTCCGGCGGCACGTCCCCACGTCTCTCGGTAGGTTACACCTATCCAATGCCGCCTTTCTTCCAATCATCCTACATTGCGTCTCGTAGGCGAAGAATTGAGTGGTTACATTTTGTTAAAGGGACCGATGCCTGGGAGAGCAAGTGGTAACATCGGAATCACGTACACCTGGTAGCGTGAAGGCTGTAATTTGGTTGCCTGACTTATCGAATAATATTGCGTAGATTTTAGGCACAATCGTTACGCTGCGTGGCCATATTTTGTTTGAGGCTTCGTTCTTATGAATATCTTGTTTGTTAAAACTGCTCCTAGCAACGCAATGTCATTTTGTAGCCAGTAGGCTTATGAAGTCAATATTGGTGTGTATATATGGACCATCAATGAGATTTCTTAAAGAGACATGTATAGGGAAATTCGAGGTGAAGTGTGGATGGGATCCAACGGTGAGTTCATTTTGAAGGTTCATCAGGCTCCATAAAGTTTTCGATGTAAAGATAATCAAACTGATATAGCTTGGTTAGCCAACAAGGACTTTTTAAAATCGCTATATTTATCCTATTTCTTCTTCCCTCTCCCCTTGCATTATGCGTCTATGAAGCCTTCCATTCGGACTACTTTAAGGTTTTAAAACTGCGGATCTTAAAACTCTGCTCGTAACTTTTTTGTTGCAGTTACACTACTATAGATGGGAATTACTAGTGTGGGAATCGGTGCGTAAAACTTTGATTCATTACTGAATGCGATATGAGGCAAAGGGCAAAAAATGCAGCTGTCATAGCCTCCACACAGCGCCCACTTCAATCTTTGGATTTTTATTTTCACGACTTCAGTCCTTTATGATGGACACCTTATCGCTAGTTGTGACCAAATGGGCTGTTTCAATGTTTGAAGTAACAATTCCACCCATACCACGACTAGGTTAATAACGAAGGTAGAAAAAGTAATCTTATTTTAGCGGTAGAAGAGATTTCGAGGCCGCGCATGCAAATCACATTATAAGCATTACATACCTTTGGGGAATTTAACCATTCCCAGATGCCGTGTGCTTAAAACAGCGATCACAGTGTCACCAGATAGACATATTTTTGCTGGTCCGCAATAGATGCTTATAGCATTTCTACCTCTTTGGATGCATTTCCACAGGGTATTTTTAGAGATTTTAATTACATTCAGGAGCCCAGTAATGCGTGATTTGTAGGCAAATACTTGTAAAGTACACGCATAGCAGTTTTAGAGTTGGGTGTTCGTCATCGACTCCCCTTCATGTCTTTACATGTGGCTATTTTTGGGCGGACCAAGGGGCCGATGTGTTTGTGTGCTGAGCATGCGTTATCTGATGTCGTCTAGTCTGCCCTTTTACTTTTTCCATGCCCTCCAAACCAGACACAAATACTATCCACTTCATTTACTGTCATCTAAAATTTGGAAATGTTTGAGCAGAAAGGAAAAGAAATAGACCGGGGTGTTGGTCCCAACCGTTCTAAAAGTGCAATCACGAAATGACGCCCAATGGGGCCCTTCTGTAATAGGCTGCACTGGGAATAACTAAGGGAGCAAAATCAGCAGAGCAGTTTAAGTGGAAATTTCAACGAGATGGAAATAATGCGTGAAGGTGCATAATTAACTAATGAGTGACTTTTTGAAGCTATGTATAAAAAAAGCTAACCACTTTCATCCTCTATGGCCATTCAGTTTGGATAATTTCCCCGTTTGTAAGATGCTAATATAGAGGTCATACAAACTAAACACTAGAGTATGCAAATTTGTACTTTTTGGATTCAATGCAGTCGGATAAGAAACTCTCTCAAAAACGAGAGACAAGTTCCCAGTAAGGAAAATGCGAAAAAAATATTGGCTTTTACTGTTTGAAAGCCACCACCGGAACCACCATATATACTAAATGTGAAAATATTCCTACTTATCGAAGTTACATGAAAACTTTTATATGCATAAAATGCCCTATTTGGCCAGCCTATCCAAATAGTCAAGCATGGGGTTCTCTGCCATCTATAAGTTGTAGTTTTAATTACTGTACTGTTAAGCGGAGATTACTGTAGGTTTCCTATGCCAAGCGATAGGTTTGCATTCTCCCTTCACCAACCAAAGATTGCTTTTGTTCTCGGCTGACGGGCAGAATGATCACTATGACTACCTGGGTGTGGGTAGTCGGACGGGCACGGGCTTTCTGGACCCTCGACGCCACAGCTATGGGTGCTCGGGCACCTCCTCAGCCAATTCGCTACTCACCGGTGGAGTCTGTGAGGGTCCCTTTTCCTCCAGTCCTCTTCAGTCCGGTCAAGGTAGCCGACGTCCCTCCGCTCCCATCTTCGATCGGAACATGGGATCGGCCAGTTACCGTAGGATTTCCCTACTTAAAATATCCTAGTTTCTTGTTAAAAATATCTTTTTCTCAATCTACAGGTTAGCTGTGATCTTGGTGTACCGTTAAATTCGGTTTTCCAGTGATGATATTGAAAAGAAATCGCCCCTTTTTAATATAAGTTTTCAGTTCCGATACAGTTAAATCGATCCTACGTGCAAAAATTAGGACATTAAATTCTCCTGCTTTAAAAATAGGTCATCGTCAGTCTTTTATTCAATTGGGGTCGGAATGTATTATTGCATTGAATCCTATTACAAAAACTCCTGGGTTGTCTAGCAACCCCGCTATGCAGAATCCAACTTAATAACGAAATACTACACTTTTATATAGCCGAACAGATATTGCAGAGTTGAACACAGTACAGCATTTACTAATACACATGACGGTAGATAAGGTGGTGTACATTAAACATGCTGGTCACAATGCGTTGCGCCCATGCGTGACAGTTTGCATGACTGGTGGGCAAAGTAGCAGAGTTGTGGACACAATCTTGTCTCCATTTCACACCACTCCTAAACCTAAAAGTGCATTCACACATTGAATGGTCATTATACCTAATAAACGAGATGCACAGTTAATAGTCCAGCTCAACTTTGGCGCTATGGATGATGAAGATTGACTTTTCAGCAAGTAGAGCCTTCCTATAATTTCTTTGATTTGGTGGTACGACTTACTGTTGGACAGAATGTTATACATAGTGACACTCATACGGAACTACGTCACCAACTTATTAAAGCCCATTTATTTTCCTGTTTTCTTGGAAAAAAACAAATTATACCGCTATTAAATTTATTGTAAGCACTGAGTTATTGCAATAATCTCAGAAATTCAGCATTAGAATGGGATCAGAGTTAATAATTTGCCAAAAACGCATAGCCAATAGCACATTCCTTCAAATTTCAAAAGATTCCGAAACCCTTTGTTGTTCATATAAATTTGAGCTTTTGACATTTCTACCGATGTGTCTGTTCCTTGAATATGACAAATTTATGCTCATTTTATAGAGTGGTCGCTTTAAATATGTATTAGTGTAGCGCCCCGAGACTTCCCCAAAGACGAAGGTAAACATAGTACCAGGACAGAAGAGTTGAGCGAGCTACTGGCATGGCCCGGAGGCCATTCCGCCAATCGGAAGTACAAAGGCGGAGCCTCAAGGGTCCGCGAAATTAAAGCAAAGGGTTAAACAAGCAAGCGGGGCATTGTACTACCACTCATCCAAATTTTTGTCTGTCTAAATGAACTGAGGTATACACACATTCATGTCACTCCTAATTTCGAAGCCCTGAATTTGATTTCCATTAGCCTGTCAAATCCTTTGTCTTTCAATGCACATCCCCTAATTACCGTTTATGCACGACTCGAAGGAAATAAATAAAATTTCGGTGTAACTTATGAGGGATAGCTACTCCCTTTTTATTCAGTTGTATTTTCTGATTAAGTGAAGGGCTAGTTTGTACGAAAGTGGCCTTCAATTTAGCTTAGATATTTGCCGTGATATTTTGGATGGTGATGCAAAATAGTTAAGGGACAAGCTCACAATAAGTAAACGTAGACCGCCGCATCGGTCAAAGTCATCTTCGTAGGCGCAGCAAGGCCAACTAGTGGGGAAGAGGAAGGGCTGCTGGGCTGTTAACATGAATGGAATAATATGCTACCGAGGTAGTGACAGAAATCCGCCAAGACTGAAGACTAAAAAGAGGGGAATCATCTCTTTGTAATGACATGGTCTGTCTCTACACTGCCTTGGCTTACTTTTGATAGGCTAGGGATAAGACTAAATGTATCCAAATCCTAAATGCTAAAAGATTCAATCACAAATGTACATTTATAGTCTAAACGGTTACCGGTTCCGTTTTTCTCAATTCAATTATTCCTTTTTTTGGCATTTTAGCGCAAACAGGACATTCACCTTTCACCGGGCAGCCTCTGGAGAACGTTTTCAGCAAGATTGTGGTGAGTTAGTTAGCTAGGTTAGTTAGGTTTCCTCTCTGAAGTTGAAAGAAAACATGACATTAGGGCAGAAGGTGTATTTGCGACGTACAGAACGGCTGGAGAGGAGCTACTGGTCTGGCTCGGTGGTCATACCATCCAACGGAAGTTCAAAGGCGGAGGCTTAAGTGCCTGCGAAACAAAAGCAAAGAGTCAAATACCAATTTTACAAGGTTGACCTTTCCCCACGTTTATTTAAAGCTTTCTTACAGGAGCACACAAACTTTCGGGTGCTCTCTCACTAATTTTCATTAATGTTGAGAGGGAGAGACAGATTGTCATACGACATTCCTACTCGGAGAGAGAAAATTGTGACCATTCGGATTTACTTATATCACCATTGAATGGAAAAGTCACTTGACTGGGATAGTTAGTTTAGAGGGAGAGAGAACATTCAAGCAATGACTTATATTTGTTGTCTAAATCTGCAAATCTGAAGGCATTTCTTAGCCATTAGGGCAGTACATCGTAAACGTAATCGAGGAAAGAATCTTAGACTCTATACACCTTGGGCTCATTAAACTTTCGAATTAATTCTCCAGTCTTATGAAGAAATAGCAGATGTATCCGTTCATAACTTGAATGGGTGTTAAAATTCTCCACTAAAATGTTTTTTGTTAGATTAGAGTGCATCAACATTATAAAAAATTTACGCGTAGAGATAATTCACTCAATGTCGTAAAAGTGGAGGAGAAATAGCAACTAAATCGACACCTGAGTAGGAGTTCAGTTAATTTTATCTTTCCACAACTGTTCTTTTAGACCAGTCTTTTCACAAGACGCTGAGAGGTGGCGCAGGACAAAACTACTAATGAGCGAAGGGGATACTGGAAACGGTTTGGAGTGCTCAACGCCGATGAATGCTTGCCCACCGAAACTATGTTTACTCTGTCATTCACTCACTCTTGCGTACACTTCCGAACTTCTCATAATCTATGATAATTCCTTAATTAGCCACTGCCTATTTTCATTCCATATGCCATCTCTACGTGCAATCAAAATGTCGCAGTTTTCTGGACAGTTTTATAACCCAATATTGTAAAAATGTGTCTCGATTCGATAAATAGGGAATCACTGCAAAATATCAATGCACTTTGCTATTGTGTCCAAAACCAAGTAATTTACCCCACTGCCAGGTATTCTAAACTTATTTTTATGGCCAAGTTGCTCAAATGACGGATTAGAGTTGCGAGAGGTGAAGATCTTACGATAAATTTTGGGGGAAAATTCATGCATATTGAGATCAAAATTGACACTAATTAGTTCAGTGGGTAATTTTAGTATTCTGAGTCTTTCCTGAAGACAAAAAGATAAAGTGGCAGTAAAAAATGTATATTACCGATGTAAAGGAGGGCTGAGGGACTGCCGACATAACCCGGAGGCCAAGCCATCGGGCGAAAGCTTGATAGCAGAGCCTTAAGTGCCTGCGAAATCAAAGCAAAGAGTTAAAAAGATTACCAAAGCATTAAACAATAGTGAGTGCCCATTGTTTTGCTTCTCAGTTAAATTCTGGCGCATTTTGTTTCCCCTAAAACCATAACTCCATTTTTGCTTTACTGCTAATTCACAACTTTCCCAATTTTTTTTATTTCTACTTTATTTAAGAGCTTGTTCATGAGTTTGGCAATGCTAGTGAAAAATCAGACTTGTATCAAAAATTTGGCTGAATTATAACTTCTTTTTTAAGGGAATACACTCTAGTATCCCGAGAATTCCCTGGAGACGATATCAGACACAATACTTGGGCAGAATATGCATTTGTAAACATACAGAAGGGCTTGGGGGCTACTGGCAAGGTCCAGAGGCCAGACCGCCCGGTGAAGGTACAACAGCAGAGCCCTAATTGGCCCGCTACCAATACTGCGGGTCACAACAACCAATTGGAGTACTCTAGTCAGTAGATACAAACCCGTGACGAACTGGGCGCCATGTGCCCCCGAGGAAGAGGAAAAGCAAGTTGAATAAGCTTAACCGCTTAACCTTCGTAACCTTTCAGTCATTGCTACCCTGTAAAGCGTGTCCTCGTATACTGGTTCCAAGGGTATGAAACCAGAGGTGGAGGGGAGAAGGGCCGAGCCTATTACGTACACTGTCGAGATTAGATCACGATCTTACATTATTGTGGTCCCAAATGGTCCACAATATTTAATTTAGTAAAGTATGGAGGTGTGTAGACACCAACAATATTATGGTATCTAAGATGATGTAAACATTAAGGACACGTTTAAAATGCTGTGTAGAGTCCCTTTTACTAGTTTTCCTTTAGACTTCTTCCTGGTTTTCGTAGTAAAGTCAGTATAAACGTGGACCATTCACTTTACGAAGGGCAGTGGTTCCTTCGAAAATAAAAGTACTCACGTTAACCATTCATCTCGGCTTAAACTAGCAACGATGTGCTTTTAGAATATTTAATAATCAAGACACATTGAATGACGACATTAAATGTGATTACATAATTGGTTTTGTTTGGTTTAATTCCCAATGATTGAACATTTTAACGACTAAGGGGGAGCAAACCAATTCGTGTACCCTCCTATCGGTTGGCAGCGGGGCCGGCAACCTTAGTATAGTTGTGGTCTGTTAGGCACAAGTGCCATTCCCGCAAACGTAATTAAGAAATGCAAATTAACTCCTTTGGGATTAACCATTGCTGCATCATTTATGGTAAAGGGTATGCAAACAAGTACAAGTGAGACCGACACAACGGTGTTCTAGGGGAACGGAAATATTCATGCTCCGTAAGAAATGAGAAGTAAAGTTACTTTGACTGGTGAATTTCGGATCACAGAAAGCGTCTTCCTTTGCACTGAATGGTGAAATTAATGGCAAATTAGCATTCATAACTTTTGTTGGAATTGAGGAATGGATTTAGTCAGTTTATTTCGTAGATGAAAATGTGATAAGATGAATGAAGATGAATTACCAGTCCCTGAGGTCAGGCGTCGTATTCGAATCAGAAGGATTAAGTGGGTGTTAGAAGTACCACCAACAACCATGGAATAACAGTTACCTGCTATTGAATGCCTACAAATGCAGTAATAAGCAATAGCAAGTTGAATATCATGTAACAATTTGATTGTTTGTGTAAATCATCGTTTTGGTTTAGCAGGAACTTAAAGCACCACTTTGTACTTCCTCTGGGTGGCATGGCCTCTGGGCTATGCCGGTAGTCCCACCCATCCCTTCTGTACTTTGGCAATACATATTCTGCCCTAGTATTGCGTTTTCTTTTATCTTCAAAAAAGCATTTATTCAAAATCGGGTTATTTATTAATTAGCATTGTGTACCGATAAGGATTTCGGTATTTTGCTGGATCAGTCGAATGCATCGTTCGACCTGTACAAATACTTTTAATCCAAGCTCCACAACAGACACGTGAGATTTTGTGTACTGCGTGATTGTTGGACTCTACCTTTAAGGTGACGAGCAGTAGGCTTACACTAACTACGTGAAAGAATGGCCACCATCGGCCCCTCACCCCTGAGGAGGAAACTAGCTCCGATCCCCTTAAACCATTGATAACTTATAAACCTTTAGTATACTCCTCAAATAGAGGTCCTCCTCTACCCAAACTTCTCGTCCCAAGGGTGTGAACCCATGGGAACACAAACATAATAAGGAGCATAATTTGATACTCACAGTTAGTCCCTAAGCAGTCAGGCTAAGATTGTTACCATAGTTATTCTAATAAGTACAACTCTAAGTTTGACTTATTGATACGTCTTGACTTTAATAAAACTGATAAAAAAAGTTAATAACAGGAGTTAATGAGCACTTGGCTAATCGTGTACCTCTAAATTTATTCCATCATAATTATAGCCAACATGCTGACATATGTTGATGCCATTTGTCATGCATCCACTCCAGGCGGCACTAATGGAATGTTTGATATATACAAAACATAACTTATTCGGAGTAATATTGAATGCATAGTGCTCTTTGAAGTCCAATTGAAGCCAATATCATGAATTTGTAGGAATAACTTCTCACAATTTTTATAATGTAGAAGGAAGGTTAGTAGAATGAATGGTGACTGTAATGCTTTGATAGTTTGCTTAACTTTGCGAATGATTACACGGGCACTTAAGTCCTCCAAATCCTACTTTCTCTGGGAGGCATGGTCTTCGTCTCATGTCAGTAGCCTCAGCTCTTCTGTACGTCGGCAAAATATTTACTATGACCTCTCGCTACTTGAGAAAAAAATCCGGGGGCTGCATTAGTGGAATCGACAAGAGAGCCCGATCCAAAAGGGTATCTACCCTGATCTTTATTGATAAAATGCTAATCTTAACCGGACGGAAGAAGGCCATACGCTTTGGATGAGAAAGCCTGTAATGACCCCCAAAAGAAGGGTCGAAAATGTTGTCCACCTCTAACAACAACCCCAGCCCCATGTTCTGCAGAAATGCCATAAACAGCTGAAGCGATGTTGGTCGTAAGCCATCAGATAAAGTCCGCTAAGGAGCCTTCCGCGGCACCTGTATAAAAATGTCAATTAAGTTGATACACGCTACCTCTCCCAACTCTCTACTGGCTGGATGGAACCCAGATGTACCTGGAGAGCACTGAATTGGGAACAAAATGTCAAAGAGGAAAAGACATGAAAATTTATTACCACTAAACTAATTTAAACACCAGCCCTTAATAAAGGACTCAGCTTTTGAGCCAGTGTCCTTACGACTGGTGATAGTAGAACGAGATAGCCCTGCAGTGGAGCATCATCCAGTCTCCGGCAGCATGAAAACAGTGCGTTCCGCCCACCCAAAAATTTGCTAGAGAGGATGAATTCTTGACCAGGGAATTTGGTAAGATGCATCAATGACGTTTGGATCGGATATATTCTCTGTTGCACGTAAATTTGATGACAGGAGCGGCCGTTTAGTGGATGATTTTTTGTTTCGAACTACCGAACGAGTTGGGGTAACTGACACAATAGCTTGATCAAGGAGCGGACAAAAATACAAAATAAGTAGAGAGAGGCTATGCAATGATTTGATAGACTGTTTAGTTCGGGATTTAATCACGTGGATACAAGTATCCACTGATCTCACTCTCTCTGCGGCATGAGCTCCTGGCCATGCCAGTGGGGTCAGCTCTTCTTTACGCCAGTAATACATCTGCTGCCATGCTATTATGGCTTCCTATAACCTCAGGAAAGCCCCGAAGAGCTACTGTGAGGTTTTTATGAAACTTATTTTATGATGGAAGGTTACACTTAGAAATGGGCCCAAAATCTCTAACGCATTATAAACGCTTGATTTTTCGCAAATTCTTTATTGCTTTGGTAATGCTAGGGCGAAAATAATATAGGCTACATAAAGGAAATTAATGTGGTTAAGCGTGGGCAATTTTATTCGCTTTCATGGACTGTTCTATGCATTACCTGTATCACTACAACGAATCCTCGAATAGGCATAATCAGGCGTGCTACGGGATAACTATCTACTGACTTCGTTCATTTTTGGAAATTATGTTAACTGTTTGCTGCATCCAAACTTTTAGTTGCCCTAATAATATTTGGGCTAAAAATGAGACACAAGTAATTGGGCATACGCAACTAACAAAAATTACTATTTTAAGCTAATGTTTTGCTTACCTTCTCTCTGCACAAATAGTATAGATCATTTAAAGCCATATGTTTGTTTGTATTAGCCGCAATATTTCGACTGCCGAATATCTTTTAACCGCTTAGCCTAGTTGTTGTAGCAACCCGAAGTGACAGTATCGCACATGCGCCTGGGAATGTCAAAAACCACGGAAGAGGAAGCAACAATAAAAATTTTACGGCACAAGGAAAGCCTAGTGCCGGCCTTCCTTAGCGTCAAGGGTCTTGTAAAGTTGCACATCGACTCATTTAATCACTTCATTGAAACCGAAATACGGAATATAGTCCAGGCGAATAATCGTGTGAGTGTGCCATCAGCTAATTGGTGGCTGGAATACAACAACGTTTACGTTAAACCACCCACTGTTAATGATGGGAGTGTTATTGCTAGCCGCGTTACGCCACATGATTGTCGACTTCGTGATCTTACTTACGCTGGTGAAATTCTAGTCGATATTACCTTCACACGCCAACACGAGATCGTTTCCAAGAAGGGCGTTTTTATTGGACGGATGCCACTCATGCTCAAAAGTTCGGCCTGTGTTTTAAATGGTATGTTGCTTGATAATGTTGCATTTGCTACCAATTTTTAACAACTCATTTTAATGTACACTATCTTTATTAGGCAAATCCGCATTTGAGCTGATGAAAATGAAGGAATGTCCACTGGACCCAGGTGGTTATTTCATCATCAACGGAAGTGAGAAGGTGGTTCTCATGCAAGAGCAAATGTCTAAGAATAGGATCATTGTGGACGGTGATACAAAAAAGGGAATGGTCTGTTCTGTCACTTCCTCTTCCGCGCAAACGAAGTCCAAGACGAATATACTACTAAAGGATGGTCGTTTCTTTCTGCAACACAACTCCTTCACTATCGATATTCCCATAGTCATTCTAATCAAAGCCATGGGTATAACCTCGGATAGGGAGATTCTACAGTGCGTCGGCTGCGAAGAAGCGATTTGGACAAAGATGGTACCCTCACTGAAACAATGTATCGAAGCAAAGGTAGGAAGCTTTACCTTGTCCCCGTACGAAGCTATTTTTCTACTCTACAGGTGCATACAACACTGGAGGCATGTAAGTGGCTCCAATCGAAACTGCGCGCTCCCCGTTTCCGTCCAGCAAAAATCGTTTCCATCGGTGGCAAATCCGGCACCGACATAACCGATCGCGATGTCCAGGCTGACATTCAGCGAATGCTTCGAGATATTATCGTCACGCACGTTCCAATGAAGAAGATGAACTTTCAGGATCGTGTTCTCTTCCTTGGGCAAATGATCCGCTATCTCGTTCTCCTTGCTGATGGTCAAATTCCTGTGAGTTTTAGTTGTGAGTATCTTGATAACCATCGCTCCGTGTCCCGATCCTTCACCATGCTTTTTCCCACCTTAGCCTGACGATCGTGATTTCTACGGTAACAAACGAGTTGATCTTGCTGGTTCCTTGATAGCACTCCTCTTCGAAGATGTCTTTAAGACCTTCAATGAAGATTTATGGATGACGGTTTCGAAGCTGGATGCAAAGCGAAGGGTCGCCCCATTTGACATCTCGCGGCACATCAAAACCTGGCTTATTACAGAGCAGCTGAACAGGGCCATCTCTACGGGTAATTGGATTATCAAGCGTTTCCGTATGATGAGGCAGGGTGTTACCCAATTAGTCAGTCGTCTCTCCTATGTCGCCGTTCTCGGGCACATGACGCGTGTGACTAGCCTGTTTGAGAAAACTCGAAAGGTGGGCATGCAACTGATTTTGTCAGTCCCAAAGATCAGATTAGGATAGAAATGCAGGCTTTCTATTCCGATAATCATTATTTGTTAGCTAAAGGAAATGCATATTTTAGTAGACGGTGTATTTTTAAGTACTAGGATAAATTAGACCACCTTTTGACTCATTCAATTTTCGAGGGGCATTTAACACGGATCTATTGGATCGTGTTTTCCATGCATCATTTGTCCCATTTCCCAATATCCATTCATGGTCCACACTTCTGAAATTCACTTACAACAAAGCTTTGTGCTGCACTTACCAAATTCGTGATCTACCTAGGGACGGTGCAACAGCTCTCACTAACTCATTGAAAGCATTCTAAGCGGTTCTTTCGAGTTATTCAAAAATTTATTCAAACGAAAACTCGATTCCAGGGCAGTTAAGTAAGGTCGTTTTATTTTTTCAGATTGCCGGTCCCCGCGCTATCCACTCGAGTCAATGGGGTTTAGTGTGTCCCTCGGACACGCCAGAAGGAGAGGCTTGCGGTCTGGTAAAAAACGTCTCCCTCATGTGCCACATCACCGTGGAAGTGGACGACACTAACCTCATCGAACTTCTTCAGACCTACTACGTCTACGCTCTTCGCGACTTTAGTTACGCCCTTGATGAGTAAGATCTTGCTGTAGATGTCTTTCACATTTGACTTGTTCCTTCTTGACCACAGGTACATAGTTTACGTCAACGGCAAACCAATTGGCTTCACAAAGGAGCCGAATGAGCTAGCAGCTGTGATCCGCGGACTGCGACGTTCGCGCTGCCTCCACGAATTCGTCTCTGTGCACTGCAAACCAGTGCTTCGCTGTGTCCACGTGGTCAGTGATGGTGGACGTCTATGCAGACCCTATATCATCATCTGCAAAGGAAAACCACTGGTCACTCAGGACATGCTTGACGTAAGCCCCTCGTTGCTAAATCTATCATTATTTACATCGTTTTCATGAGGTCTGCGGTGCTTGGCTGATTGTAGGACCTTACAGCCAAGGTTCTAAGCTGGGAGGACTTTTTGAAGAAGGGTGTGATAGAGTACCTTGATTCAAATGAACTCAATGACTGCTTGGTCGCTTTGAACGAGGCTGACATTACGCCTAGCACCACACACATGGAAATTGATCCGGCTACCATTTTGGGCGTTGTCGCCGGTCTCATCCCCTACCCGGATCACAATCAATCGCCTCGTAATACATATCAATGCGCTATGGGTAAACAGGCTATGGGAACCATTGCACTCAACCAACAGATTAGGTATGTGGTTTTGTTTATCGCCTTGTAAGGTATCCTTTGGCCTCTACAATGAGTCTCTATAAAATGCAAGGTTATTCCAAAGGGCACTTTCTCCGCCTCCCTACCGACCTCTAAAGATTATGTGCGAACGCAATTATCATAAGGAGTCAACTAAGTTTCGTATTGTTTCGTCCTTTGTGTAGCTCAACAAGTTTTCTACTCTACGGAATGGCACTTGAGTAGTTCGATCTGGCACACGTTGTCACATCCTTTGTAGGTGTGCTTACGACTTCGGTCCGCCGAATGATTTACGACCACATTTGCTCTTCCACGCGGCCCTCCACTGCTGCACTTATACACTACACGTATCTCATCGTTCATTTATTACCTGGACTTGGAGACTTCGACACAATGATTTGTAGGTACAGCTAACCTGTTCTAGACCAGTCTTCGGAAAACTGCATTGTTACTCAGCGTACACTCACCTCTCGACGGTGCAAATGCTTGTCTCTGTGAACGATGACTGGTTTATTCTTGCCGCTCCTCCAAAAAGATCCTTTTCATGCTCAATTGGTCGGAAATTTAGAACCAAACGCTCCACACGCTGATTGAAGTTTTACGGCGAGACAGGGTTGACTGCCGTGTGCCAAGAACGCCGACAAAGACAATAATAGCCGGAATCTTCACTGTTAGGCTTTGAAACGTTTTCACCATTCGAATACCTTACTGGTTTGCGGTTGAGCGTTCCATCAGCTCACCGTGCTGCCTTTGAATACTTCCATAGGTACGAGCAGACGCCCGCTTGTTTACAGGAACAGTCGTTCATCCCCACTCACTGTTATATGCACGCACTCAATGCCGTCACCGTAGCTTGCCTTCTTGATTAGCGGCATCCGTGCTGGACTGGGTTGGACTGATCAAGGACATGAAGACTGGCTTGTCGTGTCTAGTAGGACACAGGTGTCGTTTACTACTGCCTGTGATTCCACCACGGTGGTATCCCTTTTTATGAGCAGCTGTAAAGTTACAAGTCCTGGTTTGTCGCGAAATCCCCTTGTTTGTAAGCGACGCTGTCCGTATCTCACCGTGTTACCGTTACTCATCTAGAGAAAAGCTACTACAAGAAATAAATCTGGCCGCGCAGTCAGCACACACTGAATTATAGGACTTGGGTGTAAATACAGGATTTGAAGTTCAGTGGGTGCAACAATGGATAATAGATAAAATCTTTGATAAGTGGTTCCACTTATGCAGATGAAGAGAGTGTCTAGATATGCAAAATACAACAAGAAAAATGACATTCCAAGAGTCAAGGGAGCCCATTGTATGAATTTCGCCATTGAATGAATGCGATGCTGAGGCGTCCGGATGTCACCTACAGGTTCGACACGCTGCAACTGCAGATGGTATATCCGCAGCGTCCACTTGTCCAGTCGAAGACTATCCAGATGCTGCACTTCGACCAGCTACCAGCAGGCCAGAATGCCATTGTGGCGATCATGTCCTTTACCGGCTACGATGTCGAAGACGCGCTCATTGTCAACAAGGCCTCTATTGATCGGGGCTTTGCGCGGGCCTGCGTCTACCGGCGCACCGGGGTGCACCTCAAGATGCATGACAGCGGCGCCTACGATCGACTTATGGGACCCATTATCGATCGAGGTAGGTGGGGCAAAGGGATACTGCTTTTATCGGGTAGGCCTAGTTGTTGACCTCCTCTTGTTACGTCACAGAGACGGGGAAGCCGCGGCGGGAGGACGAGATTCTTGAGGCAGATGGCACAGCGGCTGTGGGCGCAAAGGTGCAGAATCAGCGCATCCTCATTAACAAAGAGATGCCGATGGTGAGGGTTTCTTCGGTGACTGCTGGAAATGGTGGTGCGTTGAGCATGCATCCCGCTACACCGGCCAATGCAGTAAGTATTTTGCACTATACGCTTTTCTACCATTTCGTTGTTCTCCTGAAATCCTGTAGCTGAATGTCTTTAGGTGACGTCTATAAGATTCAAACAAAAGTGACTTAGTAACATGATTTGGAGGAGATTTCGTGCTCAATGACATTGAGAGAAGTGAAATTACTAGTAGCCATTTTGCCCATAACATAAACCTTTGTTCACCATCCCAAAACTGTGGGGCAAAATCACGGCGGATAAAGTGGATCATTTTAAAAAACTTATTTTGTGAAGTCTTGCAATTATTTGCTGTAAAACATCTTCATTCCAAGATTTCGGCGCCCATAAAACTTGTAATCAGACAGCTTTGAAGTGAGAAAATCGCATTTGCTACGTCAGTGAGGCCATTGATGACCTATAACATTGTGGGGAAAATTGACTAAGCCAATAAAAACTATACTTAATATGATAAATCAGTAGAAATTTTTATGCCAAATAGTGTCAAAGGAAGGTAGATGCCCTTACTATCAAAATCGGCACTTTTTTCTTCAGTGGAACTAGATAGCAACATCGGAATTTCGATAAAATCACTTGACAAAGCCATTCTGATGCTTTTTGATCACAGTAGTATATATTTCTTGATAGACTTATAATCATATGGTTATAAATTAATTAAATCGGATTAATCAGCCACCCATCAATGAGGTCAGGGGAATGTGACAGCCACAGCCGGCCGGCCGGCTGGCTGACCAAACATTTGTGCGTGTGCGTGCCTTAAGGTTGAGTTCAAGCGAGTCGCGGCAGACTACCGCGGCATTGAGCCGTCGTACGTGGATAAGGTGATGTTCTCCACCTCTGAGGGCAGTCAGGCCGTAGTGAAGGTGCTTCTGCGTCAGACGCGTCGGCCGGAGATGGGTGATAAGTTCTCCTCGCGCCACGGCCAGAAGGGAGTAGTGGGTCTCATCGTGCCTCAGGCTGACATGCCAGTCTCCTCCCAGGGCATCTGTCCCGACATCATCATGAATCCCCACGGCTTCCCTAGTCGTATGACCGTAAGTTTTATCACCTGGCTGCCTGCATTCAATCTTCCCGCGGTCCTATCTCACCGCCCTTGGTTAACTGGTACCCAAGATCGTAAATTAAAAAGCGCATGAATGTAGTCAAGCTACTAAGTTAAGTAAGATGAATCAAAAATGATCAGTTTTATGATGGGTGCGTGTATAACGGAATTGTTGTCGTTGAGCTACAACCAGTATCGATGACGATTTTCCAATTCTGCCACAATTCCTACAGGCACCAGAAATTACTTGTCCAAACAATAAGTGCAGAAGCATCGTCGATGGCAGAAAATGATTAGACACGGTTGATAATTTGGCGTTATGAACGAAGCCGAGACGTCTCATCCTGTGTATCTTGAAGATCATGGCGCTTAATCTGAATAAGTGCGAATGAATTGAAGTTGAAGACGAAGTTGTTGAAAGTGGTAAAACAAATAAACCTAAATCCATCCAAGTATCACATTGGGCTGGAAAAGTGGACAATTCAACTCATTGTTACCTTTTGTTAGCATTTGTGATCAGACAGTAGTCAGTGGAATACAGGTGTCAATGCTGTCGGTGGTAGATGGCACGAAGGGCGTTTGATCGCACGACAACCTTGATCTGTACTTTGACAATATTGACCGGAACGTTATCAGCATTCCTTCTCAGATAAATGATGGGGCTGCCACGATCCCTTGTTATGTGTATAGTGGGAACGGATGTTTAAGGCACATTGAGTGGTGGGGTAAGCTGATGAACCCATTAAAGTCCCCAATCAGCTCATTCGTGAAACGAAATGGAAATGAAATGCGAAGGAAAGTGCTAATCACGTATGACTGACTGGTCAGTGCTCAATAGGCCAACTGTTACTTGTGCTCTGCCGTCTTCGTTGCTTTTAGAGTCTTTGGTGAAGTGAATTACTGCTTGGCATCGACCGAAGTAAATGGCGGCTATGATTTCATCACTTCATTTGAAGCACCGAATAGTCGCATCCGCTGGCCGCCTTTCCGAATTGAAAACACTCAAGAGGGCGCGAAGTTGTTTTCACGCCCAATTTTTGCTCAAATTTACGTTTGTAGAAGGCAAACGGATAGGCTTGGATTGTATCCATTGGTATAGTTTCATTAAAATTTCACGAAGTTAGATTTGCAAATGATTGAAAATCGTAGAAAGCCCAATGAAGGCTGGCATTACCGGCGTCTCTGCTTTGTGTGTCCTCATCAGTTTCAGATCGTCTGACATCGCTCCCGGTAATTAATACAAATTTTTTGATTCCGCTATAATATCGGCGCTCCTTCGTTAAGCGTGTTCAGTAGCCAAGAACGGTGGAGTTCGTTGCGATGCGCATTACAATGGAAAAATGATGGCGGGCGCTCCCATTGGGAATTCCCTCGTAGCTCTCGTTGAAGGTAAACAGTTTAGCCATTTCGTTCACCTTAAAAATGAAAATCCATATCACTTAAATTGTGGTATTTTAGGTTTGATCACAAAATGCGGCATCTGCATCTCCTTCTCAGTCTACAACCATGCTTTTTTATACATTTCTGATTTCGTGTGGAAACTTCGGTGATTTTATTTTCTGAGGAGCGCTTTCTTCTTAGGTTACATGAACTAAAGCATTTAATTTAATTCGTGCTTGAAGTCGCAACGATACGACCGATAAAAAAAGGGTCAAAGTAGGAATATCTTATAAAATAGTCCTAATCCTTCCGGATACTCGAATTTCTTAGTATTTCTTCAGTGTCAGGAATTATCTCTTCAATACCTCGAATTGACTAAAAATAACACCGATGATCCAAACTGACGGCAATTCTTGAGTCACCCATCGCCCACATAGATGTCTTGATATTCCTAGTATACTTGCAATTAGGTTACATGATATACTTGAAAACACAATTATTTGAGCAAAGGGAAAAGGAGCGACTGAGTTGACAGCAGTGCAATTCATTCAGTGTAGAACGGAAAATTAGCGGCTAAAGGTCCCTGCCGTGGCCCTATGAGTAGATACCATCATTTAGTACTAATTCCTGTGGGGGTCCTTTCTGGATTGGTAATAATTATTCTAATATTGACAGAAAATAGTAAATACTGACGTTCCGTTTCTTAAATTGACATAATTTGCATCAGAACATAGCCATGGTGACATAAAGGGAGCAATAAACATCCTGAAATTGTGATGGTCCAGCGCGTTTCAAACAGGTGGGGAAACTGATGGAACTGCTGGGCAGCAAGGCCGCCGCTATCGACGGTCGCCTGCGGGACGGCTCCGCCTTCTCCGGCGACCCGGTCGAATCGCTGGCCGAAGTGCTTACCGAGCACGGCCACCACTACTTGGGCAAAGAGATCCTCATCTCCGGCGTCACAGGTGAACCCATGGAGGCCTACATCTATTTCGGCCCCATCTACTACCAGCGCCTCAAGCACATGGTCATGGACAAGGTCAGCGTTCTCCCTCCGCTTTCTATGTTAGCCCTCTAATCAAAATAACTTTTCCAAGTCTAACGCATGCACTGGTAGGTCCATGCGCGTTCACGCGGTCCAGTAACAGCATTGACACGACAGCCGACAGAGGGTAGAAGCCGGGAGGGTGGTCTGCGAGTGGGTGAGATGGAAAGAGACTGTTTTATCGCCTATGGAGCCTCTCAGCTGCTGTTAGAGCGCCTACTTACCTCCAGCGATGCCTACGACGCGGTGGTGTGCGAGGCCTGCGGCCTCCTGGCCTCCTCGCCTAACTGGTGCCAGTACTGCCGCAGCAGCAGCCAACGCGTTGCCAGTGTGCGCATGCCCTATGCGTGCAAGTTGCTGCTGCAAGAACTCATGTGCATGCGCATCCTCCCTCGCCTCCAGCTGGCGGCGCCCAACGAGTCCCCTCTGGTGCAGAACCTCTCCGGTTCCTCGACCTTTGCCAGGAATCACGGTACCCCCAAACGATAAATCAATCAATATGCCTTGCCCTTGGATTTGCGTGTTTGTATAGCCTCTATAGATTTCCTTCACTTGAAAAAAATATTAAGCCTTTTTCAAGGTGCAACGTATTTATTATGCGTCCACCAAAGAGGGTTACTGCGCAAGGGCTAAGGAAACGTCCTCCAACTGCTGGCAGAAATCGTAGTTTAACTTGGCGACGTTCTCGAGATTTTTCGTCTAGTAGATACTAAGGCGGAGGATGAATTGTGACCTACCGTCTTTAGAATTAGCTCCCGTAGCCGATTGCGCCTTTGCTCAGTCAAAGTTATAAGGGAGGAATCGAGCACAATTTTGCCCAAATCTAAAAGAGTATTTTTAGTTCGCCTTTGAAGAAAATGGGAAAACAGGGTGACTTACTCCTGCTCGGCGATGGGAATAACAAGATAGTGGGAATGTTTCTTAAGCCCTTCAGCATATTCAGTGATCTTGCTGAGGTTTTCTCGAACAGTTCGTAAGTCCGAGGCGAAGGCCATGCATGTTTCAGTCTCTGCCGATTCTGTAACAGGTGCTGATCCTTGGATTCCAGAGATTGTGCACGATCGTTCACCTACGACTTCTTCCTTTTCGGTGGGCTTAAGGCATATAGTGTGAGCAATGAATGTAGGTTTACGAGGCCATCGATAAAAATGCAGAACCGGCTCTCTTGTGCAGCAAAAGACTAACTACTATCGAGTAAGTTAATATAAATATATGGGATTGACATTATGGTTCTCCGTTCTAAAAAACGACGCCGCAAGCTGAACCACAATAACCAAATCATGAATAATCGTACTTAAAACATACCTGTCAGTTTCAAACCAAAACAAATGCATATTTTGTGCAGAACCCATGTCAATGTAGGGCGAAAATAAATTAGAAGAAGGCCCATGTATGATCGTTCAGATGTAAAAGCAAAAAGGACCAGCTCATATGACAGGACACATGACGAAATAACAGTAATAGTCACATAAACGCTCTAAAGAGGAAAAAGGGAAACACTCACAAACGCAAGACAATAGCCCCACTCCGCTGCCAGAGTGCACACGACAGCAGCCATTTCAAGTTAATGCGATTATTGCATCCACAAATAGGATAAACTAAAACCACGAAATTAAAATAATTCATGCAAAAGCATCAAATAGGGTACTTCATTCTACGCTTAAATACCAAAAGGGCTTGCAGGCTTTATTTGGTTGATTCACTATAAAAGACTCAAGATATTCTAATTGTTTAGATTTCACAGACAATAAAGATTTCGATTATTGCTAATTTACCCAGCTGCATGGTCGTCCAACCATGCCATTAGCCCCTTAATATTTTTGCACACTGACAAAGCACTTCCTAACCTTACATTATGGACACTTTTGTCTTCAGAAATGACTCGGGGCAACGAAAAACTAAATTTACTATGATGTAACGCATGAAAACAAGAAGAAACACCAATTACAAAATTTTTCAGGGCTCTGCAGGCAGACTCAAAAAATTCAATCCATCGTCATTTTAGCTACTGTAGCACACAGAGACTTCCTCAAGAACGGAAGAAGATATATACTAAGGTATATTATTTCCTGTCGACGTATCGGAGACCTAAGGGTTTACCGGGGTTAGCAAAACGCACAATGTAAGCTTTCTTATACCTGAGAAGTCAAAGCAAGAAATTAAATAACTGCCAAGTTATTCCAACCACATTGATTAAGCAGTTTATTAAAAATTTTTAGGTTGGTTGATTATTTTTATGTACAGGATTTGGCTAAATACGATACACAGTATTTGACTGCGTGATGATACTTTTTTAGGTACATTATGGTGCTTTGTGTAATTGAGGCATTTAAAAATTGTTTTATTTGCTTACTTTTCCTGATCTCGCAAAAAAACCCCCATTGGCCGCGTTACTTAAGTTGCCTTCTCAATGGATGATTTTACGTCCGCTTTTCTTTCCAGGGGAAAGGAAGACTTGAAAGACGCAGAGGCCAGTATTTCCTACACTCCATTCGGTGTTGATCTACAGAAATCAGGGGAGACCAATGATGATGAATCCTTGCGCCATCAATCTTCATATAGTGAACCAGAGACTGTTAAGCAGTGGCGCCGTGAGTACCATGCAAACATTGAGAAAAAAGATGCTAATGAGGCGTCAAAGGATAAGGCAATGAAAGAAAGTGCTGTGAAGGTACGTATTACAATTTCGGCAAAGTTGGTTTACGTGCTTATATAATTAGTTCGTAAACATTTGCAGCTTCCACAGATTGGCCAAGTGATGCTAGTTTTAGAATCAAATCATTTTAAACTTACCCTTTGACCGGGTTTTTAGCGCAAGGCTTTTGTGTGTTAAACTAATCCCCAAATAAGCCTTAATTTGAACGTTGTCTTTCTAGAATATCTTGCATTTGATTGCTATTATTTACAATTTGACTTTAGGCTGACCGTTATGTGTTTCATCAATCCATCCTAAGATCACAAGTTGCTTCTTTGGTTTTTCAGGAATTAGCTGAGTGGCAGAACTGGCACAAGAAAAATCTAATCAAGGCGCATAAGCAAAATCTAGCTCACGAAGAGGAGCTGCAGGCTCAGAGAGACAAGACGATGCTACTTTCCAAATCCGTCTCCAAAGTCAACTCATCCGACTCTGCTATCTGGGAGCGTATATGTCAGCTCTGTGATCTCACAGTCTCCACCTCGTCTGGTGACTCCGTCTACTCGAAATCCACGGCTGGTACCTCGTCTAGCAGGGACGTTACGCGATTCCGTTCACTCCTCCTATCCCTTAAGAACAACCCCCCCAGGGTATGCCACTAGATTCTAAGAAAGCGAATCGTTTAATCTCTCACTAGCTTCTGTGTCGTGTGACCTTGCATTCCTTGCTTGTTTTACAGCGTAAAATCCAGGACATCTCGTGACACACTTAAGTTCCCCTGCCTTTTATCCATTCCTCTCCCCTCCCCTCCCAGGTTAAAAAAGAGTTCCAATGTGTATCTTCCACTTTCGCCTGCTCGTTAGCCTCATGTGTACTGATGTCGTTTTGTTCGTGGGATAAAAGCTGCTTAGTTACATTACCGAAATTTGACCGTACACATTCCAGGTAAACACTCATTTTGGGCATAATCTTTACGTGCTTTGCGAAAACCACTCTAGCGTTTAAAATTTTAACTAACCGCTAAATCTCACTCTCCAGCATCCTGAGCATCCACTTAGGGCTCTGCAACAATAAGTCAAAGCTGCACTACGGGATTCTCATCACAACTACTGTGATAACTTCAATCTTCTCCTAGACATTGTGATTGTGAGTACCTGAGAATTTCGTCCGCAATGGGCTAGTACTTGCCTTCTGTGAGTAATTTTCCTTTACATCAATCAGTATAGAAGCAGGAGTGCACGCACGCATGCGGTCAACTTTTCAGCAAAATTTAAAAGGTACTGAATGAATACAAAGCTAAATCACGACAATAAAGGAAAAAAACATGAAAGAAAGGACAGAAATGCCGTCGTGATTATGATGAAGATTGGGGTGGCGGTGGTGGTGCTCCACTAGAGGGTATTGAAATGGCGACATGGACGCCGTTGAACCGTGTAGCCGCAGCAAAAGCGGCGGTGATGGAGGGGGGTGGGAATCGCATATTTACCGTCTCGATAGATGCGACGACTCGTTCTAGTAGGGCGGGCGTGTTTCTCGAGTACTGCTCGATTCGCCTGAATAGGCACTCCCAAGTCAGCATCTGATTTGTCGGTGGCATGCGCTGATTGGCTAAGTAGGCGCTCAACACCATATCCACGAACTCTCCCCAGCCTTCTTGTGAACGGCCTAGGCTGCGGAGATGCAGATTGACTTGAACGTGGAAACTATGCAAAGCACAAAATTACGCGTTTATACTAGAAGTTCTAGCCAATTAAGCTTTCAACTGCCCTTTAATATCGCATGAAATCAACAAATTCAAAAGAAGGTCAAAACGATGAGTTTGACCAATGGATTTAGTTTCCCTCCCATCAGGTCGACCTAAATTAATGCCGTACATGCAAGGGATATTCAAGTCAAATGAAATAAAAATATTACTACGGTTATACATGAAATGGGATGCTACCATAGGGGAACCACACCTGGTGGTAAACGACATCTGCGTCCTATTAAACACGGCGGTGAGTGCGTGCATATAACAGTGAGGGGGGATGAACGAATGGTCCTGTGAACAAGCGGGCGTCGACTCGTAACTACGAAAGCATTCAAAGGCAGCACGGTAAGCTGATGGAACGCCCAACCACACACCATTAAGGCATTTGAATGGTGAAAACGTTTCAAGGCCTATCACTGACAATTCCGGCTGCGGTTGTCTTTACCGGCGTTCTCAGCATACAGCACTCACCTCTCCCTTGTTACTCAAGCAATATTTTAAAAGTTGGATAAGTGTAGTGTATAGATGATGCAGTATAGGACTGTGTGAAATAGTAAATGCGGTTCTAGAGCGCCATAATGAGTCCCCGTTTGACCTGTACACTCATGTACATAAACCGAAGTTAATTATTCTTTAAAGTTCTTACAGATAGTGCATCCTATTGACCATTTGTTCGAGGAGTTCTTTATTTAGGGTGTTGGACGCGACTTCATTGGCAGAATTTCCCACCACTGCTGGAATGGTGATTGTCTGTTGTTGATGCTGTCGTAACATATACTTCGTTTCCCATTGCGGATAGTTCCAAACCAAGGGTCTCTGATGTGCCATTTGGTAGGGGGCGACGGAGGGGGAGAAGGAGAACCCGCTTGGTGAGCACTGTGAGTAGACTGGAGACGATGACGAAGTGGAGGAGGGGCGATTGGGGCAGTACTTGTTCAGTACCTTCACTGTGATTGCCGACATAATAAGGGGACAGGGGATGCATTTGAGCATGCGCCTACAGTAGGTGCAGACGGCCTCATCACCCAGCATCTCTGCCACCTCCAGAGCGCGAAGAATATTCTCCTCAGAGGAGCTTGGGGATTCAGTACAGCCTGCCCACGGACGGCCATCCACATTCCAAGGGGCGTAGTCGTCTCCTCTAGTGTCGGTCAGTGAAACGCGGTTGTTGAGAGACTCGTTCTGGAACAAGGTAGAGACATTCTCGCCGTCCAAGTGATGGTGACGGTGTTGCCAGTGGCAGAACTTGCCGCTCCAGTCTCGTGACTGTGGTGATGTGGAACCAAGCTGTGGCGCCTGTGAATATACGAACAGAAAGCACAAGGTCATCTTTACTATTTTTGATAATACGATGGGTTATGATGATGAGTGAAAAACGGAAAGCACCTCCTTGGGTAGGCATACAAAGCTCATCAAAGATCAGTTTATGTATGTATCATTGGTGAGATGCCAGATTGAGACGACTTTGAATAGTATTATAAATACGTTATTTGAGCGGAACAGGTACAATATGCCACTCTACACCCTTGGCATAAGCAAAAAAAACAACGGTGGTTACAAGTAAAAACAGTATCTGCGATATTTTATTTGCCAACACTAGATTCAATTTAAAAACGATGAAAGCTTTATAAGCTACAGGAGAAAACAGTCACTACTGAGTCAATCCCGATACGACCTCTCACCTGTAAAGGAAAGAGTTTCTCAATTCCACACAGAAATGAACGGAAGCTTCGAAGCAAGAAGTGCCGTGCTCTTCCTTCCAACTCCTGAATGACTGATCCTTCCACGGGCTTGAGGGCAATCAGGTCGGCGGGAGATTCCACCACTACTGAGGTCTCTACCTGCGCTTCAACTACCTCAGGCTCCACCGTTTCTGCTTCTTGTCCGGGCGATGGAACATCCACATTGGCAGTGCTTGCGGCTTCCGCAGTAGCATCCGTCGCTGCAGGGACAGACGCAGAGGGTTCCGAAATAGCAGCACCCTCAGCAAACACTGCTCGACGGAGGTAATTCTGGAAACCATCTAAGATATAAAAGTGTAAAACAGGTAGAGATTTAATATGGTCACAGGTTCAAATTCGATTGTATAGAACTGTGCTAACACCATCCAAGCTACTGGTCTTCGAACCCTTCTGTAAGTCAGAAATGAATGTGCTTCCAAAATGGCAACGTTCGAGTGTTGCATCGAAATTAATCGACAAAATGAGCTTCCAGCTTGACTACTTTAAATTCACCATGGTCAAGAAATTAAGTGGCGATGAATAAGCAAAATGCAATGGTGATTCACATGAGCTGTGAAAATATAGCACAATTATGAGGGATACAAATCAAATGATAACGCCGACTAAAAGGGTACAACCCACCCTGAGTAATGGGAGCAGTGATTTGTGGAACAGGAGCCGATGTTGCGGTTGGGTAAAGATGTGGCTGCCCAGAGTAGAACTCGTAGACAGGGGGAGCCACAGATTGCATAGTCAACTGCTGCATCGGCGGAAGGGAGACATTTACCTTCAAGTCAAATATGACAAAAACAGTCAAGTGTCGGAAAGTTAAGCCTGAGCACAATTAAAAAAGTGGCCGTTCTATACCTGCTGCGGTGGCTGTACAGGAAAGACTGGATAGAAAGGGAGAGAGAAGGGCTGTGCGAAAGATGAAACAAATGCAGAACCGGCTGCTGTGGCGGCGACGATGGGATCAATATTGGTTGTGGGGATGTATATGATTTCAGATATAGAGGGATGAACGGGCTCCTGGAAGCCACCAGGCCAAGCAGCACCGTCGTTACTAGGATGCTGGTTCTCAACAGCAGGCGCCACCAACGTTTCAGACGTTGTCGTCGATGACTCAGACCTTTTAGGGATTTTATCTTTAGTGGTTTCGTAAAGTTGGAACCAGTAGCTAGCCAGCTGGAAGTGAAGCTCGGACACAACACCAAAGGGTGTGGATTTTACGCCCTCCTCGATACATAAGAGACCGCGTTCCAGCATCTCTGGTATGGCGGAGAGTTGAGAGAGTGCACACTTGATGGCATCCGACTTTAGCGTCGTGCAGTCTGTTAGACTCGCCAGACACAACTCGCCCGCCATCTTTGACAGCTACAAGGCAACACTATCAGCCGATGATTTGGTCACTTGCAAAGATACGAATGCATAATATGTTTGGGGGAATAGGAAGTATTCCATTCAAATAGAGATGGATGCTTACCCGTTGGTTGCCCTTTTTAAAGAGTTGATAGGCTACGGCTGTCACCTCTTCAGTAGTAAAGTGATTGCGCCAAGAATGCAGCAGCATAAAGGCCGCGGGTAGCTCAATCTCAAATACCTGTTGACTTATCCATGCTACGTGACGTGAATACGTTCTGCTCTTCCACGACGGCTGCTGCAGATTGATGAGTCCCAATGCGTAGAGACTCACCTAGAAGAAAAGAAATGAATGGGGAAACAAGGAAAGCGCTTGCTGTCCATGAAAGTAACACCTTTCGCAATATTTCAGTCACTTTTGTTGTATTTCTGAGTGCCTTAAGGGCGGCCGACATCAAAGAAGACAATTAAACCGTAAGTCAACACGATAAAAAGTAGAAGAGTATGCATTAATTCAAAGTTTACCTGGAAGGCAGCAAAGTGGAGATTTCGGTTCGTTGGTCCGTGGGTCACCGCCTCGGCGTTGAAAACAGACACGCTGGCATTGGGTCCACCGGCCGCGAGGCGAATGCTCTTGGCCAACTGGAAAATATGCTGTGCGTAGGACTCAGTGGGACGTTGACGCGGGATCGTACACCTCATGTCGTCACTGACTGTGCCTCGCTAAAATAGGCAAAAAATCCGGTTGTTGGTGGAGAGTAATGGAACATACTGCGCCGTTACCTACGTCCCCAATCCTCTAGTCGTTCTACTTCACCAACCAATTCTACATATTATTACCCCTCCAGGAGTCACTCGAGTTCCAATAATTACAAGTCACCCATTTTCCAAAAGCTAAACAAGAGTATTGTAAATGTCTTAAAAACCAACATTCTAACCATGTTTAGTTTGAATAACATCTTTGTGTACGTTTTAAGACAATGGATTCGATGAAAAACATGACTAAATCTGACGTTACCCGACAAATCACGAGTGAGTTTTGCTCGTGAGATAGTTTTAAAAGTGAAAATAGCGAACCACCTAAGGAGCCATATTCGATACTAAACCATAATTATTCATACCATTTAAGTCAATTCTGAGTATTGCACCAATCAGCCAGTTAGGACGGTATTCGCATTACCAGTCTTCCACACGGGCTGTTACGCTGATGACAAGGAGTTTGGCTACTAGCCTCCCAGCTCTTCCGCACATTTGTAATGAAGCCTGCTTTCTAGATTTGCATACATCAAGATGTCCTCGGAAGTAATTAGGCACTAACTACTTACCGAGTGGCCGATAGCCGAAAAGACGCCAGCGGTGGATCTGGACTCCTCGCCAGTAGAAGAGGAGAGGCAATCTGAGGAGGAGTCTCTATTTCGATGTCTAGTGACAGAAGCACCACTCCCTGAGGTGATAAAAGCAACACCAGGGGTCATCCCTTTGGACAAACGGAAGAGGAAAGTGCCACGACTGGTAGTGGGCGAGTTGTCACTGCTAGTGGTCTCTGGTGCACTACTGTCTACGGCTGCCATACCAACGGAGTGACGGTTAATCCTCTTCGGATCACGCAGAGTCGCGCAACGAAAACGCGTATCCCAGGCCTGAAGGTCAATGGGAGGAAATGAGTCATCATTCTTACGTTTACGTGGCACAGTCTAGTTAGCTAACCCACTTTTGAGTCAGAGAGTGTGTCAGTATCCTCACCAGTCGATGTGGCAGCCCATTCAGATGAAGCCTGGTGATTCTTGCTCTCCATACAACCGACCGATACCGACATGTCTAAAAGTTAGGTGACGATGAGGAGGTGAGCGATTTCATCCACACCGCCTTAAACTCCATCGGCCAAAAATACCTTGAGGAGCAGAAACAGAGTTCCCTATAGCCGTGTCACCACTATCGGCACCACTATTGTTGTTCTGTTCATCGATTCCCACAGCCTCTTCTAAAAGTGATAACGATGCCACTAGTTCTGGAACTTCTCCTGCTGTTGCAGCGACTTCCGTATCGATGAAAGCGGAGTCTGAATAGCCTGCCTCATCCCCAATTACTGATAGTTCTTCATTTTCAAATCGAAACTGCATCATCTCCTCGAGACCAGCAGAGAGACAGAACCAAAGAGGTGGGGACTTGAAGAAACTGTTCAGACTTGGATCCAATAGACTTTCGATCAAGTCTGAGATACGACGCGAATCATCCTTGTAGTAGCGAAGGCTGCGGAGAACAAAAGATTGCATTTGCGAGCGTTGGCACTCCACAAACATGGGCGCCACTTTCTCCGGGATGCGAGTACGCTGGCCGAAAATGCGCCGGGCTAGACCAAAGGCCAGCTCACCGTCGTCTCTGTAATAAACAGAAACATGCGCACAGTCTTGAATTAGCCCGGAAGGAATAAAAATCCTAGTTCCAATGCAAGTGAATGAAAAAATGCGGTTGAAATACAATCTTTTCTTTCTATTTACCTTGTTTCATGAGTCCGAGAGGCGAAGGTACTCGGGTCTGGATCGAAGTTTCCACCGTGTTGTTGGATGCGTAAGGCCAGTGGAAGACAGACCACTGCAGTAGGAGTCTGAGTGGTTGAGGGTGTCACGTTCGATCCGCCCGCAGTGGCATTATCCGAGACGGCATAAGCCGAGCGACCGCTAGAGTTTTCGCCCTCCCCACCGTCCTCCGTACCCGAAATTGGCGGTGCAGGGGGTGGCGGAGGTAGCGTGTTTGAAGGTGGTAATGGATCCGAACCGGCCAACATTTGGAAGAGGAATTCACTCAGGGAATAGGGCACGTAGGCGGCTTGAGTGGATAACCCAAAAATAGCGTCTCGTGAGAGTGCGCTTATGATAAACGATGAAAGAGCAGAGAGTAATTATTCTGATTACAGAAACCCAATTATTTCTAGCTCACTTAAAATGTATGCAGCATAGATGACCAATTCCACAAAATTCCAAGTGTTCATGATCATTATCCAGATTGCCAACTCAGTGAGACGCCTGTCAAATGTATAAAAGTGATGCCCGAATTCGCAACAGCATTCGAAAAAGAGGCTGGTAATCGAAGGTTTTAGCATAGCCGTGATCGTGCAGAACTAAGGGGACCCCGAGATGTGTCATAAAATTAAAACCGAGATTGCGAAAATTACACTAATGTGCACGCTTTTAAGTGTAGCAGTGTCTATCTTGCATAATACCTTTGCATGAAAAAAAGTCCGACCCAAGCCGAAAAAAATTACTCTTCAATTACAGTTTCAGAAGTAAGTGAGTCAAATTTTCAGATTAACTAACTCGTGAGAAAAAAGCAAAGAGAATGGCCTACTTCTCCCCACAATAGTAGCATAAGACATACCGGCGTGAAAATTAAAACTACCGCGGTGCGAGATTCCTGTTGCAAGCATCCCTTTAGACACCAAAAAAACACTACTTGTGTTCCACTTTAAAAAATGACATAATATTAATGCTTTAAAAGTACTTTGATTTTATACACCGTTGCGTAGTCCATTTATCAATAATATAAGTCACATATATGTTCTGCCTATGCCAGGTGACGACGATCAAACAGACCATCATGCATTTAGGAGAAAGTGGTACTATTGTTTCCGTGTTCCAACTCACCCGAGCAATCACCAAAGCGGTTCACCCCATCACCCAAAAGCTGTGCCTCACGTCGAACGCTCTCGATAACCCAAGGACAAGCTAATTCGAGGGGAAGGCGGTAGAGTCGAGAGAGCAGCGAAGCCTCGTGATCGAAGAGACGCACCTCCATGGCTGCCACGGTATGTTGAGGTCGTGGTAGAGCGAGCATTAACAGACCCAGCCGGAAGCTCAACTCTATGTCAAGGGAGAACCACTCAGCAGCGCTGTCAGCGGTGGTACCGACGGCAGCTCCAGTGCCAGCAGAAGAGGTAGTGAAGGCGGGTGGATGGTAGACGCCACCCCCTGAATCACCGCCTTGCGTAGACGGATGTGCCAGATGCTGATTGGATAGTGCGGGGGGATACACCAAGCCCTCATTGTAATGGAAACCGTACAGGCAATCCATCAAGTATTCCACGCAGTACACCCACTCCGTGAACTAAGGTAGGGAATGGAATGAACGAATTCACTGAAATATGTTCAATCCTTCCACATCCTTGCTTGTATATAAGAAGGCATCAGTTATTTCCATCACTGTGCCATAATTGTCAAGTCGTTCAGAATAAAACTCAAAATTATTGTCCATGCACCTAAGTTCAAACCAAAGGGTGCAACAACTGAGTGGAAGCTGGACATGTGTGAGCATACAGGCTGTTCTAAAAGCTGATAAGACTGATACAGAAAAGTACTGCTATTCGCTAGCATATCACATAGAATCACAATTTTTTGGATCTTTACGTCAGATGCTTCAAAGAATACACACCACCTATCACACCGTTTCCCTGATATCACAAAAGGAAGAAAGCGCAAAATTGAAGGAAAGTATGAACAGGTAAAACCACTCACAGTGATACTGAATTCAGCTACCTCTGACACATAGAAATCTGTCCACAGTTTGGCCAACTGTTCTAATTCTGAGGATCTTTGTGGAGCAACGTTGGAAGCTGGTCTTCTCAAGCTACTACCGCCGCCACCGCCCCGTCTGGACGTCGTCGCTGCCGTCATCACAGATGATGCTCCCACCGAAGTGTTCATGGCGGCGGTAGTAACAGTGCGGCGATAGCGGCGAGTAGAGCCGGTGGAGGAGTTGAGACATGGAACTCTATCCACACGTTTAAGAGACTCAGTCAGGGGGTCGATTTGAGCAGCCATCTCGAGATTTTGCAGAGCCGCACTCCTCGCTGCAGCCACGAGGGAGGGGGCCGAGAGGAGCATCTCAAGGGCCAGATGGCGAACCCAGGCAAGAGCTGTACCCGTATCATCATGCGTGACGAGGCCCTGACAACGGGCAAAGTTGGTCTACAAGAGAGGGGTGTTGAGAAATTTATAATGAGTAAGAAGGTAGTGAAGTGAAGTGACTGTACGCATACCTACCCCAAATTGACCTCTCATTGATGGGTAGCTCTGACACCCTGTAGTTTCTTGCGAATCAAAGGACTCACTCAGCAATTCCATGCCAGTGGAATATTCATCGACGAAGGCTCCGTCAAAGTGGGGAAGTGCTGTAAATAAAATATGCAAAGGTTTATCGAGTTCCCTCAGTTGCGATGAACCAATTGGATCAGGGTACGTATCAACAGATCATATTACGAAAGGGTACTGTGGGAGAATCATAAATTCTACATACTGTAGTATTTAAAGGCTACGAAGAGTGCTGTCGCGCACCAATATCGCCCGATTACGAATGAAAATAAGTACCATAATAGGAATATTACCCTGTATGAATTGTTCCTTTGTCAGAGCGTGAGTGGGTGGCATCTCTGTTGACCACGTAATTCTGAAAGGGTTGAAAGAGTAGTTCTTGAGCATTTTAAGCACGCGATTTTCGTCTGCCTAAAACCCGTGCCATCGCGTGTCCCGGAAGAAAAATATGCATGACCTGATGGTCGAGCAACCAATCCAGCTGAACGAAGAATGGCTTTGCTGCAATAAAAACCCCATAGCACATTTAAATGAAATTAACGTGCATCAACAATTTGGGAAAACGTCATTACCTGTACCGTAAAAATTAAAACAAACGGGATTTGAGGTGAAAGTTCCTTTTAGGAGCATAGTGTTATCGCTAAAATTGATGTATAAAACAAGCCTGGTTTTCGGTACCATAGAAGCACATTCGAAAATATCGGCACATTAATTAAAGGCATCGAAGTCATAGAAAAAAGCAACCAATTGTTGAGTTCAGATTAAAGTGAAAATAGGAACATACTGACAGGCCTGGATAGCAGGTTTGAAACCAACAAATAATTTCTGGTTGTTGTCGGAGAAGAGATTTCTCATATTTTCCAGCGAACCAACCAGGAGTGCCGAACCAGCGGAAGTGGAGAACTGGGCTACTCGCATGCCCCTCTGCGCTTTCATGATTGCTGTCTGGTGCCAGGTGGAGAGCTTCGAGATGAACCGCTTTCGAGGAGAGCCCTTTTCACGGAGCTTCGGATCGAGGCACACGAGGCGCCAAACGTCGACCAAGGTCTCGCACAGCCATGCCGCTCCATAGCAGGACTGCTTCCGCTTACCCACCTGTGAAGGTCTAACTTGCATGTCCACATTCAACTGCACCACGTACCACCAGAACATAATCTAAACATTTTGAGAAGCAGAATTAGAAAACACTAACAGTGTCAAAAACATCAGATGCATCTCCATTTGAACATACTCTGGATGATTCGAGAACGTACTTCTGAGACTGGATATTTTAGCTATGATTGTACCAATATATACAAAAAAACGTACTAAATAGTCACTACAAACCAGTAGGTTTCATTATTTATGGGTCAGAATTCGACCCTTATTAACCTAGGCGAAGATATTAGTGCGCATTTAGCCAAATCGGTAAAGGAAGAGAACCCAAAAAAAGTATATTGTAAATTATTTCACTTGACCCTTAAGATCACAGCAACATATGTCTCTTGCTAGACTAATAAGCACTTTCAATACAATGAAGGTCATGATTAACACCAGATGGTGTGAGGGAAGCTTTCACCAACATCATAAGTTTATAAAAGAGGAAAGAAAAATGAGAAATGAAGGCCCTGTACCTCATCCACCTCAAGAATGCATCGAGTGAACATTTGGAGAATGGGGAGAGCATTTAAGTCTTTCTTGCGGAGCATTCCGATAATGATTGCAAGGAGAGCCCACACCCCACGCGGCTCATAGGTGCGCAGGGAGCGCAAAATGCATATCATCTCCTCGGAGTGGTGGGAGAGGCAGGAGTTAATGGAGGAGAGATCACCATGAAAGGGAGATTTAGTTTTAGAGAAGCGAACCAGGGTATTTCGTAACTTTTCCTCCAGCGTTGAAATATCAAATCGCCAAGATGATGACTCTCCTATTAGGCCGCCGGCTGTAGGATCTGAAAGAATAGATGAACCCTCATTTAAGCAGCGTCTGGTAGGCTTTTGTCGATCCAACAATCATAAAACTCCAATGAAATAGCAAAATCGTAACCTTGTCCCTCCACAAAGCCCTTCACCGATGAAGCGTGTGGCAATAGAATGTCATCTAATATGCTTTGAGCGGCCGGAAGAATCTGGGGTAAAGATATTAAAAAACAGCATCAGCACAAAGAGAGGTAGAAGGTCTAACTGAGTAACAAGACACACAGCAGAGTATTACCTTCCTTGCACCAACATGGCAGATGAGTTGTTGGGCAAACAGTTGCAACTCGTTCTTGTTTAGCTTCGAGAGTGATTCTGATATAGGCGGACGATAGATGACAGACCCGGGTGAGCGGATCCGCTTGAGACAGGTGGCGACAACGTGGGCACACCACACACCACTATCGGCAACTTGCTGTTTAGGGAGAGGAGCAGGGGGTGAGTGCAAACAGGAGTCGTTTGGAAGGTCGCCCCTTTGGTTTAATGATTGCTGTTGCTGTGAAATTCCTTCCACCTCCATAGTGCATGTACAAGAGCAAGAAGTAATGCACGTGCGATCAAACATTAGCGAGACACGATGAATAAGAGTGAAATTAGAAGAAGTGGATTGAATTGGTGCCTCAACCAAAACACTTGCGCTAAGAAAAAAACCTGTAAGCAAAAGCGATACATCGTGAAGTCAGAGCGGGAACGATGACTTGATGCTGATCACTTGGAATGAACAAACTGAAATGTAAACCCACCGATTTGCACACAGTCACGAACAGCGTCTTTGGCTAATAATGCAACACCATCGTTGAAAGAATGCGAGCCACCAACACTTAGACACGAATACAGCCGAATGTTTTCCTCGTTAGAAGGAAAGCTGCAAAACGCTATGAGTTTCTGCACCTCCTCCGGAACAATGAAATGACTACAGTAAATAGCCTCAAAGGGGATGTGCTTCGCAAACACCTTTGCACCTATTTTGAGTAGAGAATCCGGTCCAGTGGGTTGGGGTTCTTAAACAAGTAGAATAACTATGATAGTCCAGGACAAGTAACTCAAATGCAGTCTAGTATGAGTGATGTATGAGCAAGAGATATGTAAAGCTGAATATGCATGAAACTTAGGTGCGCATGCGGAAATGAAAAACACACTTGTTTTTTTGCGAGAAGGATCGAATACAGTACCGTTATCAGCACGAGTCAACAAATCCATATTCAAATCGCTACCGGAAGAGTAGGTGGACATTTCGGCATCACTGCCCATTTCGTTTATTGAAACGTCCGAAACTTCGGAAGAACTCATAACAGTGCATCAAACGATGAGACTGACAGTGGTAATGGTGATCAGGCGTGGGCCACCTATGCAACCTTACCATCTTTCATTTGGCCAATCAAATCACGACCATGGACATAATTAGAGAGAAACTAGGCTAATGCTGGCAGAATGGTTAAAAAATATTAAATATTTAATAGTTTTAAGGTTACTTTCAGCCATTCGTAGTTAAATATTATTTCTAGATGGAGGCAGATGCAGTTTAACACGTTATCAAATTTAAGCTAAGAGCAATTAAATATCATGACGACTTTACCTACGCAATTATTTGTCATTACCCTAAATCATAGAAAATTCCTAGAGTCCTACATCGACATTAGATTAATAGTTATAAGCCGAACGCCATGTATTCATTCCTGCATTAGGTTTCACTAGCTTTTTGTCCCTGTGTCCTCAGTCGGCCCTACTGCTCAGAGATGTTCCGACTATGGCATCTGCATCAGTAGTTCACTGGCCTCTGTACATTCGTAATCTTTACATTCTTGCTTGTTGATCTCCCAAGATCTTTCGGAAGGAAATGGGCACTACAATTTGCAATTGCTATCACCCCCATGCCTCTTCCCTCTCTCTGATCCTTCCTTCATTCTCTTCAATCCTGTCTTTTCATCCGGCCGACCTCTTCTTCCTCATGTCTTCCACCGTTTAAAGCTATTTAACTCTACCTTCTTTTATTTTCCTCATTACGCCTTGCAGCTCACTTTTGCTGTTAAAATCCAAATAAAGAATTCATTTGTTTGAGGAAGGTTTAAGGTCAGTTCAAAGTGATCGGTCAAAGCTATCGTTTAACACACAATCATTGGAGTCGCGATGACTTAAAGTATTTTACTCGTCTTAGTTCCTTTATTTTAAATTTAATCAGGTAAATTGTCCACAGCCAAAATCTTTTTCATGCAAAAACAGGTTAAGCGCTAGGACAAGGTAGTGCAGAGAACGACGGGCTCTTCCTTGTACATTTGTAGTTCATATCATACACACTTCGAATAATTTTGTCAAGTAGGATACGTTTGTGTTCCCATTAATAACTTCAATGCAGTATTAAAATGTACGTCTAGCTTCAAGCGCTCCACATTCTCCGCATTTTAAAATCTGGTCTTGCGGAATGTACCGCTGCCCATCTCTGTAGTCCCCAGGTCTTCTGTATGACAATGACAAATCATTCTTCGATATTGGGATGCCTTACAACGACCTAAGGAAAGGTTTGGGGCGCTGAGGAACTTTGGTTTGCCACCCGCTCTCCAACTGAATGAACCAAACCTTAAGATGACTTATGTCCTACATCTAAGGATGTAAATGGTTCATCCCTTAGGCATCAGCCCGATTGCCATTTTCTTCTTTTAAACTAGAAAACCGCTTAGAGCCGTAACAAATGTGATGTTGAGCAGGAAAATGACAGTTCCACCTTGTCTTGTCCCCCCTCTCCTCCAATTGATTAATTAAGCAATTAATTCACCAAATCTTAGATGTGTCGTTTATCTTCCTTTCCTCCCTTAAGCCACATTTTGGTGAAATGGGTGAACCCATTTTTTTCCTGATTGGAAAGTCACCAGGCGAAGGAGCTCGTCCCATAGCTGGTCAAAAGTGTGCGCTCCTTTTGTGTAGGCCGTCACCACTGAAGACTCGTAAACTGCTTTCACCAACCCCATCGGGTTGGTTGACGCAGTCTAAGGTCTTATCATCCCCTGTGAGATAAAAAAACCTCTTTTTTCCATCTACCAATGTCGCGGAGCGCTACTCCGTTGTCGGGGGCAGCAGAGGTACTCTGCCTTCCCCCATCTAGCGTCGACGCAAAGCACCCTTTGCCACAATCGGTAACCAATAACGATTCAGAATTGGGTAACCTTGTAGCTTCCAGCATACCTACAGTACGAGCTGCAAATCGACCCAAAAGGGACACTTCCGCGACCCTCGTGGAATGCATTCGTCGGTGGCAGGTGGATAGAAACCGCGCCGAGAGTATAACGCGTCTCAGAGGCATAACAATAGAGCCATGTAGTGAATAGTAGTGGAGTCGTGCGACCCTGAGTCACAAAAAAAACAGACATATAGATCCGCTATGGAATCACGTAAAGTTAAGTCGTAGGAGTGGTGGATCAATATATCGACTCAGAGAGAAACCACATGATCCTAAGATCAACGTAGGCACAGATCGATATCTAGATCAGTAATGATGTGACACAAACTGTAAATAGACGCAGACCGATGTATAGATCCCCTGATGCTGAGTCACGTGACTACGGCAATGGACATAGATCGATATATGGATGCCTTGGCGGCAAGTCACGTAACCCCTTGATAGACATGGATCGATATATAGACCCCCTGATGGAGAGTTATGTAAGCCTGGTGATAGATGGAGCCCAGTGCATTGACCCCAATGATGTTGCATGAGATCTAGTGATAGATTTGCACGATATATGGATTCAAATTGATGAGTTGCGTGGCTCTGTGGATAGACATTGGCCAATGTATGGATGCCCCAAAGATGAGTCACATGACCCTGTGCACAGACATAGCGACGTAGGCTGGGTCACGTTTCTCGGAAGTATATACCAGAATCTATTTATCACTCCACTGTGCGCTCACGTGTGCGGTAGAGATATGCATTTTTTCATGAAGTATAATATAATGTATAATTACATAGCAACAATCTAGTTTTAACTGCGAAATAACATCTTACACAAATCTTTTTTGTAGTACATATAAGTAATATGTAAAATACATTAGAAATGCATTGGTTGTTTGTTGAATGGTCGGTTCTGGTAAAGGGCCACTTTGTCTTGGCCATCTTACCTCTCCGGGTGGGCTAGTCTCTAAGCCATGCCAGTAACCCTAATACCTTCTGTATGTTGGATATGTATATTCTGTCCCAGTATTATGTCTTTAATCGTTCTCAGGAAAGCCTCGGGACGCTACAACATATATTTGACATATCGTATTTAGAAAGCATATTTTTTATCCAATGTCACATATATGCAGCACTTATGTTGTTTAAATGTGCCTTTCAGAAAAGGAGCGGGCATTTGAGTCTAACCTCGTGATCGAGGAGAACTCAAAGCCTGACGAATGATAGAGCATCTAAACCCAATCAGTCTCCTCATTCCTAGGATATGAAGGTCAAAGTGGGGGAGATAAATGAAGATAGTGCTACACTGGTGGCAGCGCCGGTGCACCTTCCTCCCTTCAAAGATGACATGAGCTTTGAAGAGTGGCTTTAAACCGCCAAATTCAACCTCCATCTTTATCTTCAAAGTCAATAAATACCCCTGATTCTCCGTGCTCTCCCTTAAGACCTGTTTTTGGTTGCAAACAACGCTGGCATCACCCACAATACCAACATGTTAGCTCAACTCGTCACAGTTAAAGAAGAACAGACTCTCGCTAGTGACTTTTCCTTCTCTACCAAAAAGCTGGCGGGGACGATGAGGAGTACTTTAAGAACCTTCAACATTTAGTGGAAGGCGCCTTCAGAGGCTGTTCTCGAAACAAGGTCACTAAGCGGATAACCGTCCAGTTCAGACAGGGAGTCCAACCTCCCATTATGGTTAATAAGCTCTGCGGCGCAAAAACATGGTCTCTCAGCCAACTGGTCAAGCTAGCAACCACAAAGCGGCAGGAACTTCGTGAGGCCTCACTTTATCAGAAGCTCAACACCTCGCATCATGCTTCTTCGTACTATGTCCCCAGACTAGGTGAGCTTTCATTTTCTCCTTCCTGTCTTCTTCTAAATGGCTGGTATTCATATGTACGAGAACGATGTCCATGCAGTTTACTTTTCGGCTGGGGTGCCGCTAGATCAATACTAAACCTCCAGGCTCTCCCTACTCTTCGTAATATGATTAAAATCCTTTTCCCTTCTACAAAATTGCATTCAGTGTAAGAAAGGGAGATGCTAGTTAGAAAGGAGTCATGGTTAAAAGTCTGCATGGGAATGGAAACCTGGACAGTGAAATTCATTACATGTCCAGAACTTGTCTGGGACGTGATACAAAGTGCTGATTTCCTGCGCTACACCAAAGTCGTCCTAAATTTTGCAGAAGGTACCTTTTCCACCTGCCAAGTCGCCGACGTCAGCGCAGATAACGTACTAGCGAAAGATGACGCAGAAGACGTCCACAGCGCTTTCTTGAAGCTGCAGCCATTCCTACGAATAATTTATGACTTTTGCGCGCAGGTGACCCACATTTCAATGGCGAAAGGAACGAACTTCGTGAACTGCTACTTAAGTATGCGAACATCTTCTCATAACAAGATGCTAAACTGGGACGAACAAATATCGTTAAGCATAGGCTTAGTATCGGCAAATCTAGACCCATTCGGCAACCACCCAGGCGTATTTCACCACATCTGCTAGAAGAAGTAAACTGTCTAGTCAAAGCGATGACTCGAGACAAGGTTATAAACCGTCCAAGCAACCATGGGCCTCCCCAATCGCGCTGGTAAAGAAGAACGATGGTAGTCTACGGTTGTGTATGGACTGTAGGTAGTTGAACGCCGTAGGTTAGAAGGATGTATTGCCCTCGCCCCACATAAACGATTCACTAGACTCCTCACATGGGTCAAAGTGGTTCCCCACCCTGGACTTGAAATCAGGATATTGACAAGTGGAAGTGCTGGAAGCAGACAGAGAGAAGGCAGCCTTTGTATTGCCAAATGGGCTTTATGAATTTCAAATGATGCCCTTTGGGAGCTGCAACGCAGCGGTCGCCTTCCAACGCCTGATGAAAAGAGCACTAATCGAATTATTCCCAAAACATTGCATGATCCATCTCGATGATATTCTCATTTTGGTAAAGATATTCGAGAACATAACGCCAAATTGAATCTGGTGTTAGATCGTCTGCAAGCCGCGGGGTTAAATCTTAACCCCAGGAAATACCGTTTTCTGCGATGCTCCGTCGCTTTCCTGGGACATACGGTCTCTTCAGCTGGAATGGCTGCCGCTGGAGACTGTGCAAAACAAGTGAGGACATGGCCTACACCAACCAACCAGACGCAGCTCAGCAGTTTCCTAAGTTTGACAAATTACTACTGGTATTTCGTTAAAGGTTTTGCTAAGGTTGCCAACAGGTGGAGAAGAATTGTAAGTGGGAGAAAGAGCATTATGAAGTATTTAAAGAACTGAAATGAATGCTCTGCTTAGCACCGATTCTGACATTACCAAACTTTGAATCGAGCGCTCCACAATCTGTGGACGCGAGCGACGCGGCTGTGGGCGGTGTACTCTCACAAAGGAACAAAGAAGGGAGCAAACGTGTCATCGCCTACGCGAGTACCAGACTCAGTAAAAAAAATTAAAACAGAAAAGCGCAACGTAACGTGAGCTGTGTGCTATCTACTTAACGGTTAGACACTTCAGACATTACATGATTGCGAGGAAGTTCTTCGTTAAAACTGATCGCCAGGCCCTCACCCCGTTAAAAACAATGAAGGAGATCGGTCGTTCAGTCGCACTCTAGTACGAAGAGCTGCGACAATATGATTTTACAGTTCGATACAGAAAGGGATAGGAGCATGCTTACGCAGATGCACTATCCTGCTGACTGATCGCGGCAGAAACATGTGACGTTGTGGTGCGTACCGTATTTTTGAGTGACCTCACTAAACATTATTGGAGAAATAGGCGGGGTACCGGTCCTGATACGGATCTGATGTTCAGGAAGGTCCTGACAACCTCTCATAAGCT